CTTTCAAGAGGCTGCAGGCTACCACTGTCCTTGTGACAGTGGGGCCTCTGCTTCTCTCTTCTCTTTGAAAAGTGAAGTTTGGCCACTCTGTTCCTCCCTTTACTTAAATTTTATTTTAATCAATTTTTTTTAGCACTATAGAATGACATCACATTTCCTCTCACCAGTCCACAGTCGAGAGAGAAAGAAAATGCATTATTTGGATGTAATCCAAAAAGATTTGGCTGTGTGTAGGCATAAATGTTGAGAGACATATATATTTCTCTGGTTCTTGATTCCCTTCCAGATGCACCATTTTTAGGGAAGAGAAAAAACATTTGCATTTTTACATTTATTTTTTTTGCATGTAGGTAATGTTCAAATGGTTCAAAAGTCAGTCTACATTAAGCGTACAGTGAAAAGTTTTCTTTGCATCATTGTCCCCGAGGGACCTCATTCTCCCCAACGGGTCACCCTTGTTCTTATCTTCATGAATCACCTTCCCAAAATTCCAACTCTGTGCGACCCCATAGACAGCAGCCCGCCAGGCTCCGCCATCCCTGGGATTCTCCAGGCAAGAACACTGGAGTGGTTTGCCATTTCCTTCTCCAATGCATAAAAGTGAAAAATGAAAGTGAAGTCGCTCAGCCGTGTCTGACTCCTAGCGACCCCATGGACTGCAGCCCACCAGGCTCCTCCGTCCATGGGATTTTCCAAGCAAGAGTACTGGAGTGGGGTGCCATTTCCTTCTCCGCCTGAAATTCTCTAGATCTATACAAACAAGAAAAAATATAGGCTCTTATTTTAAGAAAGACAAACATGATTTTTAAAATTCATTCCAGCAATCTGGTAGGTACTTCTTCCCATATCTAAAGCTCACATACAGAATTCTTTTGCTATTTTATGCTATTTCATGGCAGTACAAAGGATAGAGAACTCACAGGTGGAAAAGCGCTTCCTGTAACTGACATGCTAAAGAAGAGTAGCAACCTGTAGTCAAATCCAGGCTCTCGGTGTATACAATTTCCCTTTCTTTCCCTGAAAGTAATGAGAGAGAGCCAGGAGGAGCAAAAGGAAAAAGAAACTAGATCCGTACCTAGAAACTATTTGCAGATGCAGTGTGGTTGCCTTTTCAGATCAGCTGCCTTTTCTATTATTTCCTAAAGTCATTAAATAAACCGTGGCCAGTGCTAACCCAGTTTGGTGAGTTCAGAGCAGAGCCCTTAGTTTTGGCAAATCATTCAGCTGGCCCTAGAAATGGGCCAGGATCTCACTGGAGCTGAAAGAATTACTGTGGAGCTGAAAGAATTACTGTGTTCCCTCTGGGAACATATCTGGAACGAGTGAGTGTGGGAGAAGAGGTGGCACTTGCTGGGGGCCAGGGCTGTGTGTGTGTGTGGAAGGGCAGCTGTTCTCTGGTGTTATTTTGGAGGCTGTACCCTGCTAGGTTTCCTAGCTCATCCTCTCTTGTGACATTTTTCTCATCCTAACCTCTGTTCCCTCTCTTGAAATCTTAAACCAATGAGGCTAGAAGCAAGCTAGATGCTTGAGGGTCAGGCTTGGACAATCCATGCTAGTCAAGTTTTCTACCCTCAGTGTGTTGAGTTAACCTTACAAGAAAAAAATTACAGCACCAACTCCTACTTAGGTTAAGACTTGACTTTGAAATTCTTCCTAGTAAGTCAGATTAAAATGTATCTCCTAGTAGGATCATCCTTAAAACATCACTGCATATATCAAACATTGGTAAATGCCACTGAAAATTATATGAGGACTTCATGGCAGGCACAGAGCTTGGCATGAGTAGGTCTTGTAGATGAATACCTACTCCAAATCCTCAGCAATGATTGACCACCTTTCTATGGCATTTTGTAAAAACATAACATCTGCTTCCCTACCCACATGAGCTCAGTAATTATCAAAACAGCCTTTTTTCTTTTTTTCAAAACAGTCTTTTAAATATGGGCAAGGAGTCAATTTAGACTCAGAAGAGCACTTTCATTTTTTTAAAACAATTATTGAAACATGGTTGATTTACAGCATTGTGTTAATTTTTGCTGTATAGCAAAATGATTCAGTTATACATCTATATGTTCTTTTTCATTTCTTTTCCATTATGGTTTATCATGAAGTATTGAATATAGTTCCCTGTGCTATGCCCTAGGACCTTGTTGTTTATCCAGCCTATGTATATTAGTTTGCATCTGCTAACCTCAGTGTCCCAGTTCATTCCCTCCTCTACCCCTCTCTCCCTTGGCAACCACAAGCCTGTTCTCTATATCTGTGAGTCTGTTTCTATTTCAGAGATAGCTTCATTTGTGTTATATTATAGATTCCACATATAAGTGGTATCGTGTGGTATTTGTCTTTCTGGCTTACTTCACTTAGGATGATAATCTCTAGGTCCACTGTTGTTGCTATAAATGGCATTATTTCATTTTTATGGTTAATTAATAGTTCATGGCATGTGTGTGTGTGTGTGTGTATATGTGTGTGTGTGTGTGTGTGTGTGTGTGTGTGTGTATCACATCTTCTTTATCCATTCATCTGTCAATGGACATTTAGGTTATTTCCATATTTTGGCTATTATAAATAGAAGAAAACTTTCCTTTTATACTCATTTTTCTGAAAGTGGCAGCCAGATGAATTGGTGAGAGTGAATAAGTCAGATCTGGTATAAATTTGTCCATCTGTCCATTCATCCATTTATCCAACAGATGCTCATTAAGTCTTACCATCTAGGAAAAGAGAGATCAAGTAAAATAATCACAGATTTTGGTAATCTTTATGAAGGAAGCAAATAGAAGGCTGCACTGAGGATAGTGGGATGAGAGTGTGTAGATATTATAGATAAGATAGGTAAAGAAGACCTCCAAGAGACAGGCATTTAAGTTAAGACCCCAAAGAATGAGAAAAGTTAGCCTTGTGGAGAGTGAAAAAGAGCATTCCAGGCACAGGGGTCACCACCTTCAAAGGCTTTGGGGTACGAAAGCCCACAGTACAGCTAAGGAATTGAAAGACCAGTGAGAATTGGAATTCTAGCTCTGACTTAAAATAAGCTACTCAATCTTTTGCACCCTCATTTCTTTATATTTGAAAATGAGATAGTAGGCACATACCTCCTGGGGTTGTTGGGAGAATTTGATGACTATTAAATGAGATAACACATAACCTACTTGAATCACTTTCCATCTACACAAAGATCCCTGGGACTCCACTAGACCCTCTCAGCTGATGTGTTTGACCTGTCTAGTCTCCTGATCATTTTTTATAGACTTGAGAATCAATCATCACTGGAGCCAGAAAACATCCTCCATCCCGGGTGTTTCTGCATTCACCAAGTGGAGAGACTAGGCAAGATTCCATTGGCTTATCTTAGAAACTTTGGAAATGAGAATAGAAAGGGAGAGGGAAAGAGGAAGAGGGAGAGTGAGAAAGTGAAATGAGAGGGTTTTCTTTTTGTGAATGTGCTTTATCACTATTTTGAAAATCAGGTAGAATTTTGTTTTTGCATTTGGGGAGATTTGAGGTTTTGGACTAGGTGTTCAGAAAACAGAATAAAAAGAAATGAAATAATCATCATTGAGTACCCCATATATTACAGACACGGTTCTTGGAAGGTTATGTATTTTATTTCATTTAATCTTTACAAGAATCCTGCAAGACAGGTCTTTGTCATCGTTCCGTCACTCAGTCATGTCTGAATCTTTGTGACCCCATGGACTGCAGCATGCCAGGTTTCCCTGTCCTTCCATCTCTTGGAGCTTGCTCAAACTCATGTCCATCAAGTCAGTGATGCCATCCAACTATCTTGTCCTGTGCCATCCCCTTCTCCTGCTTTCAATCTTTCCCAGCATCAGATCTTTTCTAATGAGTTGGCTCTTTACATCAGGTAGCCAAAGTATTGGAGTTTCAGCTCTAACTTCCAATGAATGTTCAGGACTGATTTCCCTTAGGATTGACTGGTTGGATCTCCTTGCAGTCCAAGGGACTCTCAAGAGTCTTCTCCAACACCACAGTTCAAAAGCATCAATTCTTTTGCACTCAGCCTTCTTTATGGTCCAACTCTCACATCCATACAAGACTACTGGAAAAACCATAGCTTTGACTCTATAGACCTTTGTTGGCAAAGTGGTATCTCTGCTTCTTTTTTTTTTTTTTTTTTCCTGCTTCTTAATACATTGTCTACGTTTGTCAAAGATGAGGCGCAGGGGGAAATGCAGAGTTCACTCCATTCCTCCCTCACCTTGTAGAATTTATTATGGAATCAGACAATACCTTGCTAATGATGAGAGTCTATAAAGTTAGCATATGGTGTATGTAGTTGACATATTTCTTTAGAATACTTTATTATTGGGATGTGTGCTAAATCTCTTCAGTCGTGTTTGACTATTTTCAACCCCATGGGCTATAGCCCTCCAGGCTCCTCTGTCCACAGGATTCTCCAGGCAAGAAAACTAGAGTGGGTTGCCATGCCCTCCTCCTGTGGATCTTCCCAACTCAAGGACTTAACCCTTGTCTCTTATGTCTCCTGCATTGGCAAGCAGGTTCTTTACCACTAGCACCACCTGGGAAGCCCCAATTATTGGGATAGAACCACATTATCACTAATTGATTAATTATCATAAATAATGATAATTATTAATGATAGCTCATAATAAAAATAATAAAGCCATTATCATGAATTTGTCTCAACACTTGCTGAATACTTAACTATGTCTCAGGCACAGTAGTGGTAAAGATACCTTGTGCAAAGCTTGTTTGGGGAATGGAGAATGAGTGACAGTCCATTACAGTGCAGTGGTAAGAGTGGTTAGCCGGGCTTAGGTGACAAAGGGTCTTGATGCCATGGTAAAGAGTTTCAGATTTTGTCCAATGGAAGATAAGCACATAATCAGAGAAGCATTTTAGAAAGACTTGTTCATACAGTTATTCTTAGACAAAGCTTTGTGAAACTACCTTATCCTGTGGGGCCATGTTAATAACCTTCCTTATACATTATGTTCCCTCCTTCCTTTTAGCAACAGTGGACGGTGCCATGGACCTGATCCTGATCAATTCCCTACCTCTTGTGTCTGATGCTGAGACATCCCTCACTTGCATTGCCTCTGGATGGCGCCCCCATGAGCCCATCACCATCGGAAGGGACTTTGAAGCCTTAATGAACCAGCACCAGGATCCACTGGAAGTGACTCAAGATGCGACCAGAGAATGGGCTAAAAAAGTTGTTTGGAAGAGAGAAAAGGCCAGTAAAATCAATGGTGCTTATTTCTGTGAAGGGCGAGTTCGAGGACAGGCGATAAGGATACGGACCATGAAGATGCGCCAACAAGGTAACATGCCTCTTAGTTGTGAGCAGATGAGGTCTACTGAGACACACGCCTGCCTCTTGTCTTGGCAGCTGCTCACTCAGGCTGGGCATGAGCTACCTGAGTGTGGAGTTTTGAAGACCTTGTCTGCCTCTTTCCTAGAGTTGCTATCTCTAGTGCACAGAGCATTAGTGATAAGAGATCATTCAGTCCAGCTCTCTCTTATATACCCCTTTCACTAGACATTGTGCCTAGTTCATGAAATGAAATGAAAATATATACCGCATGTTCTACTGAGGACTCCATGGTCCTGCTGGAGATCTGGACATGTTACATGTATATAATATGATTCACAGCAATGAAGACAGCTGTCCACTGCCAACTCAATTTAATTAGTTACTTGGTGCATTAGTTATCTTTTGACACAGTAATTATGTGTAACACACAACTGAAATCACAGTGGCATACTACAATCAACAGTCCAAGGTTGTGTGTCTAAGTCAGCTGGCTTGATTCGGTGGCTCTGCTGGTCTTGATTGGGTGGGTTTCTCAAGTGTATGGATGTTGGATGGCTGTAAGTTTATTAGTCTGACGTTGCTTGGGCCTCCTTGGCTCTGTTCCAGCTGACTGTTAACCTGTTAGCAAACCAACCTAAGTATATTCTTATGGAGATGCCAGGGGTACAAGACAGCAAGTGGAAACACACAGGGTTTCTTGAAACCTAGCCTCAGTGTATGCCCTCACTTCTGCCTCATTTTTATTGCTCAAAACAAGTCAAAGAGCCAAGCTAAAGTCCAGATGGGAGGGCACTACACAATTAAACAGCCAAGATTTTGGATATAAGGAGGGGTGAAGAATTGGGACCTTTTTATAGGCTGCCATTCTTGTTAGATTGTGGTTCAATTTTAGCAGTTGAGATGGAGGATGTCAAGAGCCTTCTTATGCCTGATCCATGTTGATGTTTGGCAGAAACCAACCACAATGCTGTAGAGCAATTATCCTTCAATTAAAAGTAAATGAATTTAATTATATAAAAAAAGAAGAGTATTACTCCCTGCTATGCCTCACAAGGCAGTGATGTGATGGAAGTGGGTCACCCAAAGAAAAATAGAAGTGGGTACAAGTTGTATCTTTGGGCCAGTCCACCAAACTCATGGTAGGTGGAGGAGATGTCATTGTAAACATTGTTTAATGACTCTGCTCTGCCCTAAAGCAGCAAGATTTTAAGATCAAAGTGATAAAGCCATTATTCATCAAAAATGAGGAAAAAGGCTTTCTTAGCAAAACCCTGATATTCACCTTTAAGTGACACCAGGCGAGTGGGAAAAATGCACAACAGAAATTCCCAGGAATGCAGCTCTCCAGTGAGGGAAGAGAGGTTGAACAAAGGGATGTGAGGTGTGCCAAAGCTATCATGGCTGAAGTCGACTCTGTTATTTTTCAAATGTGGCATCTGGGATTTGACTTGTATTAAGAGTTATGGCCTTCTGCGGATATGTCCACATTCTGAACAAAGATGATCTGAGATTTGTGCCCCAGTGGCCTCACAGGAATGAAATGAGAAATGCCTTTTCTGGGCCTGTCTTGGAAATGTATAAATAGGAAACCATAGAGCGTATTAAACCAAAACATTGGGAGTCTAAAAACAATTATAATGATCCCTCCAAAGTGAGAGTCCTGGTCAGCACAGGTAAAGGATAGTTTAAATTCATTTAGTTAAATGAGGCTAAGGCAGGCATGCATAGTGACAAACAGTGGAGAGAAGGTGGTTTTTTAGATTCACATTCACCTGAGTTTAATTATTTTCCTATTACTTACCAGTTGTATGACCTTATTCAACTTCTGTTGGTCTCATTTTTACTCATCTGTGAAATGGGTATATCTTCAAAAGTGTCTTAGGTTTTAAATAAGAATAAGACGGTACATGCAAGAAGCCAGCTCCCATGAGTTTAAGATTTGATTTACACAGTAGCTATGTTCCTGAAAGCCCGTGCAAAGTGAGATATTGCAGAACAATTTACATAATAATAACAATAGCCGTTTGTAAATGGTGGGAAAGGGATTTGATGCCAAGTAGTCTGGCCTCAGAGCCTGTATTGTGCTACCCTTTCCATATCACTCTCACTTAAGGTTAACAACCCTCCCCCATTCTTGAGCGCTTGTTTTGTAAAGTACAACAACTCTAATGGAAACCCCAGAAAGCAACCTAGAGCACAGAGACTTGGGGGTGAAGGTCAGTCAGACATGGGTTTGAGCCCAGCTCTGCAACCGCTGGTCTAACCCAGTGCAAGTTACTTAACTGAAATCGTAGTTTGCTCATTTGAAAAATAAATGGAGATAGAGACTTTACCACATACGTTTGAGGATCAAATAAAAGCACCAGCATTATCTGGCTCACACTAGTTAGTTAAGTTGCTCAGTCGTGTCCAACTCTTTGCAACCCCGTGGACTGTAGCCCACCAGGCTCCTCCGTCCATGGGGTTCTCCAGGCAGGAATACTGGAGTGGGTTGCCATTTCCTTCTCCAGGGGATCTTCCCAACCCAGTGATCGAACTCAGGTCTCCCGCATTGCAGGCAGATGCTTTAACCTCTGAGCCACCAGGCTCACACTAGATGTTCAATAATTATCATTATTTAGTGCCTTGGAATGAGCAGTAATTTAGTGGAACTGTTACTTTTCCCATTCAATTATGGAAAATTTTAATATCAGCTGTAGACATAATTGTGGAGGTTTAGACAAAATAGAAAAATAGGTAGTACATTCTCTCCTGTATTTGAATAACATCATATCAGGCTGTTGAACTGATTTTCTTTGATTGACCATGCAGTGGCTAAAACAGGGTGCAAAGAAAGTGATATCTTTTATGGTGAGTCAAGAAAACCTCCAACACTATGTCTTCATGACACTATTAATTCCCTACTAAAACTTCTTGGGAACTCAGGAGCACCTGTCTAGGGACACAGCAGGATAGAATAAACACCACTATATTCCTGCTTGCTGCTGACTCGTGTATCTGGGGAGGAAGTGGAAAATCCATTTGAGATGTGGCAAAACACAGCTTAAACTGGCTTGCGTAGTCCAAATGGCCGAATGATTTTTTTGTTTGTTTTATCAATGGTATCATCCGAAAAAGTCAAAAGCAGTTTGTTCAAACCTCCTTGAAAATTGCATTTGGGGGTAGGGAAGTATAAATGAAGTTTGAAACATTTTCACATCCAAATATCTGTTTCAGAGTATTCTATCAGAGGACAGCTATGTTATTTTTCTTCCTATTTTCATTTGAGAAATAGCTTTAAGAACATGCAATTTCCCAAACATGATTTATGAAGTTGACAGATTTGCCATTTGTATCTGAATAACTCAAATGAGCATGTCAAAAATACAAAGTAAATAGAAAAATTAGAAATCAGATTCATTCATGTATTCTCTCCACAAGTATTCCTAAGCCTCTATTTCTGCCACACATGGGAGGTACATTGATGTTAACATTTCTTAAATACTTATTATGTGCCTGACATCTCCCTAGCAACTTTTTATGCACATTGCTGTGTAATAGGATCATTAGCAAATGCATATCTGATGAGGACCATTATGATTTCCTATTAATAGATAAACATTATAACTATTGTAACTTAGAAGCATTTACACACCTGGTTCCCCATGTTGGACCTGGGAAGGTGTCCTGCGGCCAGATCCCAGAACCAAGGCCTGAACCACCACCCTGTGCTGCCTTCCAAAACCGCCATGAGCCTGCCCTCCTGGAATGCCCAGTCCAATAGGAGAGAGGCACTTTGAGTGGGGCTGTAATTGGGAAGGGCAGAGCATATGGGAGGATAGTACTAGGGCAGTTAACCTGGATTCCTGGATGTGAGAGTTGGACTATAAAGAAAGCTGAGCGCCGAAGAATTGATGCTTTTGAACTGTGGTGTTGGAGAAGACTCTTGAGAGTCTCTTGGACTGCAAGGAGATCCAACCAGTCCATCCTAAAGCAGATCAGTCCTGAGTGTTCATTGGAAGGACTGATGTTGAAGCTGAAACTCCAATACTTTGGCCACCTGATGTGAAGAGCTGACTCACTGGAAAAGACCCTGATGGTGGGAAAGATTGACGGCAGGAGGAGAAGGGGATGACAGAGGATGAGATGGCTGGATGGCATCACCGACTCAATGGACATGGGTTTGGATAAACTCCGGGAGCTGATGATGGACAGGGAGCCCTGGCGTGCTGCGGTTCATGGTGTTGCAAAGAGCTGGACACAACTGAGTGACTGAACTGAACTGAACCTGGATTCCAGGATTCTGGGAGGCCTCTGGAAAAAGTGATATCTCAACGGAGACTGATGAATAAGTAGGGCTTGGTGAGACACAGGGAAAGGGAAGAGAAGGGAGAAAGTGGATATGAGTGATCACGTAGTCTGTTTGTAGCACTGAGCACAGTTCAGAATGGCTGGAAGTGAGAAGTAAGGACGTGGGCCTAGGGGAGGATGATTCTGGAGTGCTAATGTCTGGAACAAGGGTGGAGGTCTTAAGTGTGTGTCTCAACTTTCACACTTACTCATGGTCAGGAGGCCTTCAAGAAGGGACTTAGTCACCCTTAACTCCACTACCCACATGATAGATGTGGATATCTTGTCTTCATAGGGCTGTTAGGTAATTACTCAAAGTAATAATGGACATAAAATGAAACATGTTTCCCACAGATGAAAAATAATTGAGCTAAATTTCAGTTGTCTCCTTCAATTTAATGATAAATAAACACTTAAGAGTAATAATGTCATTTTACTATCTTGTAGTTTCTTCTCTACTTCTTAAGGAATAAGTGAATTATATTCTTAGGTAAGGTCTGTGAGTTAATTAACCAATCCACATTGTCTCAAGCAAGTCATCTTCTAATGTAGGCCTCAGTAATCTCATTTTAAAAATAAAATGTTGGGCACTTCCTTGGAGTTCAGTGGTTAAGACTCCACATTGCTAATGTAGGGGGCACAGGTTCGATCCCTGGTCAGGGAACTAAGATCCCACCTGCCATGCAGTGTGATCAAAAGATAAGAAGAATTAAATACTTCTTTTTTTTTTTTTTAATTTTTTTAAAAAAATGGTTCTAGGAGAGGCCTCTGGAACCGAACTACCTGCTTCAAATCCTGGCTGTCCTGTGAACTTGCTGTGTGATCTTGAAGAGAATTCCTGACCTCTCTTTACCTTGATTTCCTTGTTTGTAAAATTAGGATAATTGTAGTACCTATCTCCTGGAGATATTATGAAAATTAAATATGTGCAAGGTTCTTAAAATGCCTGGTTCATAGGAGCTTATTGTTTTCATGATCTGGTCAAGTCACACAATTATCTGACTATGTGTGAAGTTTGAGCCAGATTCTGGTGTCATCAGGAAGCCCAAGTTGCAAAGTTGACTTGTGGATGCCCCTCGTTAGTCCTCAGCAAAGAGCAGTGAGCCCAGAGCCATGAAGGCAGGAGGTGGCAGGCTGGGCGGCAGAATGCGGCCGTGTGACTGTGTTCAGATCCTCACAAAACAGGGAGCTTAAAAGGCACAAAGTCTGAAATAATAAAGAACCACAGAATGGGCAGAAAGAACAACCACGCTGGAGTTGAGCCGAAGAGGGAATCTCGGTTCCCTTTCAGAATACAATGCTGAGTGAGAAGTCCCACGGTCAGCTAAACAATCTTCACACAAAGGAGCAGAAAATATAAACAAACCACAGAGAAAGGAACAACAGCATGAACTGGTCACGAAAAATTCTCACAGGAGCCGAAGGGCATGTTGCAGAGACTAAGAGCCACTTGGCTTAGATTGCGAAATGGAGCCTCTAGTGAGGCGACAGGGAGCCCTGGGAAGTGGCCCCTCGGGTCCCCGTCTGCCTTCCCTACCACTCACGGCCACACTGCACACGTCAGCACAGCAGCGTGGCCTTTGTTTATATCTGAGAAGGATCCTGACCTCTTCTAAGCACCCAGGGCTTGGCATTCATCCTTTAATGTTCATGTTTGTTGTTGTTTAGTCGCTGTTTAGTGACTTAGTCATGTCTGACTCTTGCAACCCCATGAACTGTAGCCCGCCAGGCTCCTCTGTTCATGGAATTTTCCAGACTAGAATACTGGAGTGGGTAGCCATTTCTTCCTCCAGGGGATCTTCCTAACCCAGGGATTGAACCCACATCTGCTGCATTGGCAGGCAGACTCTACCACTACGCCACCTTGGAAGCCCTTTAATGTTCCTAACAACTGTTTAAGGTAAATACTTTTACTTCCAAATTACAGATGAGGAAGCTGAGGTGTTCAGAGGTGAAGTAAGTGGGTTAAAGAGGTTCAGAAATTGGCAGAGGGTGACCTTAAGCCCAGGACTGTCTAATTCCAGTGCTCACAATGCTCTTTGATTTACACCATTCTCCCTCTGGGTCCACATTCATCACCTTCTGCCCCACAGCATCTCTGTGGGAGTCTTGCAGAGTGCCATGCCTGGGTTGGCAGGTACTAAGGAAAGCAAGCAGATGTACCTAAAGCCCAGGTGCTTTTGAGCATGGTTCAGAGGCATCAGGTGCCTTCACAGGGTAGCTCTCTAAGCTAACGTGAAAATCCCCTGACTCTTGCCAAGTCCTGGACCTCATTCTCTGATTCAAGTTTCAGTTGTTCCTGGAGAAGCTATGTAACCTCATTTTCTCATCTGGTTTTTTCTCTCTCTTTTAATAGCTTCCTTTCTACCAGCTACTTTAACTATGACTGTGGACAGGGGAGATAATGTGAGCATATCTTTCAAAAAGGTATTGATTAAAGAAGAAGACGCAGTGATTTACAAAAATGGTGAGTCCATGTGTTTTGTTTCATTCCCGCACTGTTGTGTAAGACATCAGACAGCCAAGCAATATTGGGTCATTATCTCATTCCAGTCTGGGGGCCAGATGTTTGAAGTCAAGCTGCTAGGTGAAAGTGTTAGTTGCTCAGTCCTGTCCGACTCTTTGCGACCCCATGGACTATAGCCCACCAGGCTCCTCTGTCCATGGAATTCTGTAGGCAAGAATACTGGAGTGAGTAGCTATTCCCTTCTCCAGGGCATCTTCCTCACCCAGGGATCGAACCCTGCTCTTCTGCACTGAAGGCAGACTCTTTATTGTCTGAGCCACCAGGAAAGCCCAACCAAATTCTATGATAGAAGCTATCTTAGGTAATACGTTTGGTTACTTAAGTAAATTAAAATGGAGATTTATATACATATATGAATGCACCTACAGTGTATTGGGTTAGTCAAAAAGTTTATCTTTTCCATAAGATGTAACGGGAATATACAACATGAACTATGAATGTTCAACAAAATTCCATCACGATGTAACACGTGGGGTCTCAAATTCTGCCATGTGATATGTGACTCTGTTTGCAAGGCTAAGGGAAAGGCCAGGGTGAACCTGGAATGCCAGTTGGCGGTGATTCTGGGGGTCTAACTGTGCAATGCAAATCTCTCTGTGTCCAGCTACAGTTTGGCACCGTCTGGTGGCAATTGTCTCATGCAGCTGAGATATTAATGGGGACTAGTCTGAGTTCTGTGGATGGGTGAGACTTACAGATGGGAGCAGTAATTCTAGGTGTCGCTTAAGTGATTAGTTGGCAAGGTTACCTGACATTTTCCCCAGGTTTGTCTGTTTGCCTCTCCCTGCAGAAGATAAGAACGTTAGGCTACCCTCATCTTCATGTTCAGTGGTGGCCCTCGTAGACTAACCTATCTGCTCCAACACCATCCTTTTCTCAAGTTTTGGAAGAGCATTCAATAGCAACCTTTTCATTCTTCTCCCACATCTAATATGCTTGAGCACATTTTCTATATCAGGTCAGGAAAAGCTGATCAAGTGGTGGGGCCAGACAAGGGAACAGGAGTGTTTGAGGGTGACCCATGGTTCTCCACTCTTCTCCCTTACAGGTTCCTTCATCCACTCGGTGCCCCGGCACGAAGTCCCTGACATTTTGGAAGTGCATCTGCCTCGCGCTCAGCCCCAGGATGCTGGCGTGTACTCGGCCAGGTACATAGGAGGAAACCTCTTCACCTCAGCCTTCACCAGGCTCATAGTCCGGAGTAAGTGACGGTGTAGCTGTTACAATTTTGAGTTGTGAGTAACCAAAACTGACTCTGGATACTTAAGCAAAAACTGGGATTACTTGGAAGTATACTGAAGACTCTTAAAAACTGATTTAAAGGCTGACAAGCAAGTTCCAGAAAATATCTTCCAGGGAAGATCTGCAGCTCAGCACTGCAGTGTGGGAGGGTGGACTTTCTCTCCAGGATGCTACCATTACCCTAACTCAGCTTCAGTGATGTTTCACTTACTTCTAAATGTTGCACTCTCAGGATAAAGAGTCAGATTGGTCTGACATTTGTCAGGTGTCTACTTGCCTAGACAAAGGAGTGATAGACAGGGGTGGAGCCACATTTTACAGCGAGGGCACTCGGACCTCACACTTGAATAGCAGCAGTTTCCTCAGACAAAATGGGAATCACTGTGAGCTGGACAGTCCCCCCAAAAGGTGTCTGCTACTGGGAGATGAGTTGGGCTTTCTGGGTTAGTCTAATATCTAGTTAAACACTAAGTCCCCCATAAAATCACATAGTTTTGAGATCATTTAACTCCCAAATGTGTTTTCAAGTTTGAAAAATGCAAGTATTAGAACTAGTGAAAATGTTTCCCCCTATTATAGCTATCAAGGTGGAGAGTAACTATCACCAGTCATTTATACCAAAAATTGATCTATAGAAAGCAAGAGATTTGCCCTGAATTTTCCCACTTGTGTTAGCTACTCATGATATTAAATGTTCAGGCCTTCGGGTCTCAGTGTTCTGACAGGGATGCTCTGTCATTCCTCTGGTGATTAGCACCCCTGATTCATGAAGAGTGCTTGTTTTGCTTTGCGTTATATTCATGCATTCATTCATTCAGCAAATCTGTGTGGATTATAAGTCTCTGCCAGGCATTATGTTGGTGTTGAGAATATAAAGATAATAAGATGAATGACTGTCCCTCAGGTCATTCTCAAGGAGAGCAGTTACATACATAAATAGATAAACAGGTATTGCAATATGACAATAGGCCTATGAAAAGTGTGGTTCCTCTAGTTTGGGCAAGTAAAATCCCCTTTCATTCATCTCCTTTCTTTGAGAATCTCAACGCAAGGACCCAATTTGCATTCACTTCGTTAAGATGGTCTCTCCACCTTGATATTGAAATTCCAACTAAAAATCTTTATCTACTTAAATGATTGTAATATATAGTGGAACTATATATAACTTTGTTCTGTATTTTCCAAATCTCATGTAAATGTGTTACCATACTTTCATAACTTAAAAAAATTTTTTAAAAATAAAAAGATGGTCTCTCCAGTGTGATATAGCACCACGTTGCATGCTCAGAGTCAGGGATAACTTGGCAAATTTCCTAACAATATCAGAAACATCAGATATTGATACATGGTAAAAGGTTTAAAGCTTTTCTTTTTTGTTAAACATCAGAGCAAATAAGGCTTAGCATAGTTTAGAATTTAAAATTCTCCTGAACTTTTAAGATAAAAGACTTCGAACACATTTTGATCTCCAACTTGTCTCCTTTTCAGACTGTCAGAAGCACATTTGTTTTTCTTTTGCTCTCATTTCAGTAAAACTGTTGGAAAAGAACTGCTATTATCTAAAATCATTCTAACAAAGTTTGAGCTGGGCCACAACAATCCCATTTAAAAGTACTTTTCCCTACTTGGGGGTTCCCTGGTGGCTCAGAGAGTAAAGAATCTGCCTGCAATGTAGGAGACCCAGATTCAATCCCTGGGTTGGGAAGATCCCCTGGAGAAGGAAATGGCAACTCACTCCAGAATTCTTATCTAGAGAATTCCATGGACAGAGGAGCCTGGCAGGCTACAGTCCCTGGAATCTCAGAGAGTCTGACACGACTGAGTGACTAACAGTTTCCCTGCTTGATGTCTTTTATGTTTACTAAGAAATGAGCTACAGTTGAAGGCATTTGTCCATTTCTCATAACTAGTATCTTTTCAGGTAAATTTGAACTTTAGGAATCAGCTCAGTTCAGTTGCTCAGTCATGTCTGACTCTTTGTGACCCTGTGGACTGCAGCACACCAGGCCTTCCTGTCCATTATGAACTCCCGGAGTTTACTCAAACTCATGTTCATTGAGTCAGTGATGCCATTCAACCATCTCATCCTCTGTCATCCCCTTCTCCTCCTGCCGTCAATCTTTCCCACCATCAGGGTCTTTGCAAATGATTCAGCTCTTCGCATGAGGTGGCCAAAGTATTGGAGTTTCAGCTTCAACATCAGTCCTTCCAATGAATATTCAGGACTGATTTCCTTTAGGATGGACTGGTTGGATCTCCTTGCAGTCCAAGGGACTCTCAAGAGTCTTCTCCAACACCACAGTTCAAAGGCATCAATTCTTTGACACTTAGCTTGCTTTATAGTCCAACTTTCACATCCATACATGACTACTGGAAAAACCATAGCCTTGACTAGATGGACCTTTGTTAGCAAAGTAATCTCTCTGCTTTTTAATATGCTGTCTAGGTTGGTCATAACTTTTCTTCCAAGGAGTAAGCATCTTTTAACTTCTTGGCTGCAGTCACCATCTGCAGTGATTTTGGAGCCCCCCAAAATAAAGTCTGTCACTGTTTCCACTGTTTCTCTATTTGCCATGAAGTGATGGGACTGGATGCCATGATCTTTGTTTTCTGAATGTTGAGCTTAAAACCAAATTTTTAACACTCTCCTTTCACTTTTATCAAGAGGCTCTTTAGTTCTTCACTTTCTGCCATAAGGGTGGTATTCTGTCATAAAGACTGAGTATTAAAAATCAGACTGGTTATACTTACAGGGTTTCTTTTCAGCATAAATTCTCTCCAGGACAGTCTAGCAGATTCACTTTGCTGTACAGTGGAAACCAACACAACGCTGTCTAGCAACTATACTCCAATATAGTTTTTTTAAAAAGATTTTTTGAAAACATTAAGATTGTAAGATTTCTCTTTGGATGCCATGGATCTATAGTTTCCTAAAATAAAAAACCTTTTTATGTTTTGAAGAAAATCACAGAGGCCTGACTGCATACTTGGAGAAGGAAATGGTAACCCACTCCAGTATTCTTGCCTGGGAAATCCCATGAACAGAGGAGCCTGACAGGCTACAGTCCATGGGGTCACAAGAGTCGTACATGACTGAGTGACTAAACGACAATGAACTGCATACTTGTTGCTTATCAAGGAACTCTTTTCCTGCCTTCATCCCTGAGAGATCACCCCCATTTTTTTCCTCAAGCTTAATCCTTTTCTCTTTCCCAGAATTAAGAGTGAAACTGTGACAGGTCTACAGACTGGTACATAGGTTAATGTAACAGGAGACCCACTTTCATCCTGGGGTTCTGTCATCGTTAGTTTTCAGCGTCTGAAGATAATCTGGGGTCTGGCTTTCAAGAAATCACTGACTGTGTAGGATTTTCCCCTTTCTACATGAAGGCATGTAAACATTAGCTTTGAGACATTTTGTAGCTTTATCTGTTAGGTGGTTGCCTGTCAGACTGGGTCTGTGTTGACAGTCTTACTGATTATTTTAGAGAAAATACTGATAACCAGGAGTTCTTGCCAAAAATATTATAAGCCATTGGCACAGGTCCAATTTTACCACTGTGAGACTCATATTCAGGGACAAAGACATTAGTTCCTTTCAGAATAAAAATTAAACTAAATTCCTGACCACAAAAGTTCAACCGACCCCACTCCCCTTGAGTTTTCCTTATATTAGAAGGTATCCTTGGGTCTAATTAACAATCTCAAATCACCAAGCACTGAAGTGGAGGAGCCAGGAAATAGGAATCTAGGAAGCCTTTTACCATTCTTGTACTTTTGGTTTTGGATCTTGCTTCATTTCTTACATGTTTTTACCTGAAAAATATTTGAGTGCTGCTAGCCCCTGCTTCCCCATTTAGCTTGTCTCCCTTCTCCACATTCTTCATCTTTTAAAAATTTTTATTTAATATTGAAGTATGGCTGATTTATAATGTTGTGTTAGTTCCATATGTAAAGTGATTCAGTTATACATATATCTATTCTTTTTCAAATTCTTTGCCCATTTAGATTTTTCTCCACATTCTTTAAACTGGATGTTCCCAAACTTTGGCATGGCTCAGAATTATCTAAAACACCAGTGAGGCATAGGTTACTAAGCTACCTCCAGAGTTTCTCATCCAGTAAGTCATGGATAGGAGTCTGGGGTTTGCATTTCTAACAGATTCCCAGATAATGGAGATGCTACTCATCAGGGGTCACACTTTGAAAACCACTGCTCTTGTCTCTAATTGTACCTGCAGCTCCTTAAACATACCATGTTTTCCTCCCAATCTAGCCTTTGCCCAGAACACACTCTCCAGCATTATCTTCTTTGTCACTTAGGAGGTCTTACAGATTCAACTCACATACCACCTCCTCTGGGAAGCCTTCCTTTATGCCCTATTCCAACCCTAATACAGATTAGGTAGTTCTCACACTGCTATATTTAAAATGAATAAGCAACAATAATCTACTGTATATATAGCACAAGGAATACTGCTCAATGTTATGTGGCAGCCTGTATGGGAGAGGAGTTTGAGAGAGAATGGGTACATGTGTATGTATGGCTGAGTCCCTTTGCTGACCACCTGGAATTATCACAACATTGTTAATCAGCTATACTCCAATATAAAATGAAAAGTTAAAAAAATAATTGGGTACTTCTGTCTTTGTCTTTATCATGTTCCATTACATCTGTTTCCCGCATTGGACTCAGCTTTTGGAGAGCAGAGGCTGTGTTTCATTTTTCTTCATTCACCAGTGTCCACTCATGTGACTAACATGTAGCAGGTGCTCAGTAGAGCTTTGCGGAATGAATATGTGCCACTCACCAGAGTTCTGTTTTCCTTAACCAAAGGATGTGAGGCTCAGAAGTGGGGACCTGAATGTAACCACATCTGCACTGCTTGTATGAACAACGGGATCTGCCATGAAGATTCTGGGGAATGCATTTGCCCTCCTGGGTTTATGGGGAGAACATGTGAGAAGGGTAAGTCAAGAGTGCTTGATGAATACCTTGTGGATTTAAAATCCATCATTGCTGAATCCAAATTTTATATCTGGACACAGTTGGGGATGGAAGCTAAATGGCCTCTGTGACACCATATGGTACCTTTGTGTGAATTCAAAAAAGGTGCCCTTTCCTGAAGGCTCTTTATTGTCAACCACTGGAAAGTTGTGAAATTCACTCAGTCATGTCCGACTCTTTGTGACCCCATGGACTGTATAGTCCCTGGGATTTTCCAGGCCAGAATGCTGGAGTGGGTAGCTGTTCCCTTCTCCAGGGGACCTTCTCAACCCAGGGATTGAACCCAGGTCTCCTGAATTACAGGTGGATTCTTTACCAGCTGAGCCACCAGGGGAAAGTTGTGACAGGTGTACAAATCTGTGATTTCATTGATGTGAACACCATTCTGTCAGTTTGTGCAATGCACGACCTGTTTACCTGGGAGTAGTGGCTCCGATGTCCTGGCCAAAAGGCAGTTTCATTATCTGTAAGGTGGACCATAAGCGTTCTTTACCCTGACCATTCCATGGCTCAGACTGGACTCTTTTCCATGTTCAATGGTCTAGGAGAGACCCTTGAAAAGAAGAATCGTGCCTTTCAAAGGGTTGGGTATTTGCCTCTGAATCATCTTTTTCTCTCCCATAGCGTGTGAACCGCACACATTTGGCAGAACTTGTAAAGAAAAGTGCAGTGAACCAGAGGGATGCAAGTCCTTCGTGTTCTGTCTCCCAGACCCCTATGGGTGCTCCTGTGCCACAGGCTGGAAGGGTCTGCAGTGCAATGAAGGTATGGACCAGTCACACCCTGAAGAGCCAAGGTTCTAGCAGGTATACCTAGGAGACCCAGCTTCCCACACATCGGTGTGTAGGACATACCTGGATTACTCAGTCAACTGTCTATGCTGAGCTATAGGGTTTTGAATCAAAGATACTTTCATCCAAAGTTAATTATGATTTTGTATTAAGACTCTGGACCACTTCGAACGTGCTGCTGATAACTTATTAGCATTGAATTTTATTAGATTTAAGAATCTTAGATTCAAGAGTCTTATTAGATTCTTATCTTATTAGGAACACAGATTCTGCTCTTATAGGTCTGGACTGAAGACTGAGGGTCTGCATTTCTAACAAGCTCCCAGATGATGCTGCTGGGTTTTCGACCACACTTTGGGCTGGAAAGGCATAGATTTATTTTTTTTCACTACATCATAAATATCAGTACTTTTATGTCAGATGCAGACAAGATTTGGGATTTGAAAATCGAGGAAGTTAAGATCTTATCTTCTGTGGACCTTGCTCAAGCGATACTAGCTTCACCTACTCAAAGAAGCTCAGAGGTGTATGTTTTTAATCTACTTTCCAATAAGCTTTTCATATTGACTATCACACAGTAACTTAATGTGAATGCCTGCATGTTCAGTCATGTCCAACTCTTCAAGACCCTGTGGGCTGTAACCCACCAGGCTCCTCTGTCCATGGGATTCTCCAGACAAGAATACTGGAGTGGGTTGCCATTTCCTCCTCCAGGGGATCTTCCTGACTCAGGGATTGAACCCACGTCTCCTGCATCTCCTGCACTGCAGGCGGATTCTTTACCACTGAGCCAAATGAGGAGCCCAATTTAACATGAATCTGTAGCCAAATATGCTAGACCCTCCCTAACAAATGCTAATGTGGTGAGTTAGCCAGCACTCAAAGACATTTCAGTATTTGCTCCCCAGAGTCAGTTTTTTTTCCGTATCTGGCACTGCTGGGAGATGGACTACATGGCACTGTTCCATTTCTTCTTGTGTTGATTGTATTCTAAACATTGTGAAAGTTACAGTGAGGAGACTCTGGAGTGTAGGCTCTTCCTCTGAAGAGTGCTTGTTTTGTTTTGTTATGTCCTATAAGGCAGTCAGCTTGGGATGGCTCAGACTGCAAACTCTGACTCCCAGACATCAGCTCAGACTCAGTTCATTCCTTTTACCTTTAGCTGAGCTGTGTTGAGCCTGCATTTAAGATGTGTGGTTCAGGGAGCAGCCAGAAATTTGGGATGTCCTCCCTCTGGTTCTTCCTTTCTAGATTTTCCCTCTCAATTTCAAGTGGCTGCAGTTGCCCTGACTCTGTCCTCTAAGACTCCTCTACCAGTAAGGCTTCAGGTTTTTGCTGGAGTTCTAATATCCCCACATAGTGTCAGCTGTGCCAACCATGAGACTAAAAGCTGGAAAATGGGGAGCACACCATTCCTGTATTCCAAGTTTTAATTCCCCTCGGAATTTTCCTGGTCCTTCCCACCCTCCCTCCCACCCCATCATTCTTCAATGCTTTCAGGTAATTATTTCTAAAGTAGTGCTGTGTTGTTATTTTTGGGAAGGGTAGCCTGGTAAGTGCTTATTTAACTTGCCTGGAATCAGAATTTCTCTAACCTTTAATTTCTTGGTAATACAGATATATCACTTACTACCTTTTATAACCAGCAAAGTTGATAGCTTGGAAAGAAAAATAAAACTAGTCACTTAGAGACTGAGTTTTCATCCTTCCCTCATGTTAACACTAGTTGTTGATGTCTTTGTTGACAGCTTGCCAGCCTGGTTATTATGGACCAGACTGTAAGCTTAGGTGCAATTGCACCAACGGGGAGAAATGCGATCGGTTCCAAGGATGCCTCTGCTCTCCAGGACGCCAAGGGCTCCAGTGTGAGAAAGAAGGTAAAGCAAGGTAACACTGTAATCAGGGCCGAGTCCGGCACGTCTGAACCCAGCTTTGCTGGCATAATTCTTGCCCCACTAGCCCAAGAGTCTTAAACTCCTTCTGTTTCCAAGCAGAAGTAGGGAAGAAGAGATCCTCTGTTCTAAAGGACAGCTTTCTGAACCTTCTTTATGGATTCTCACACTGGCCCTTCCCATAAGGAATGAACCCCGTGCTCTCTGTAGCGCAGTAAGTGATAAGCAGCCACTGAGAGCCCTGTCTACCTCTTTGTCGGTCTCTTCTAGGCCCAGACCTTTCCCTGGATATGCTCAGCAGGGAAAGAGTTACTGTGAAGAATTGCAAAGTTAGATTTTCTTGGCTGGCTTTCTTCATTTACCATACTGTTTTTGAGGTTTATCTATATTGTAGCACATATCAGTATGTTTCTTATTCCTTTTTATGGCCCTACCATCTGTTCTCATTTAAAAGTCTTGTTTGAACACAGCCATGCCCCTTTGTTTACCATATATCATCTGAGGCTGCTCTTAGAACAGGGTTGAGTAGTTACCACCAAGAACACATGGCCTGCCAAGATGAAAATGTTTATTATCTAGTCCTTTAAGGAAAGTCTGCTAACCCCTGTCCTAGAATATGTGTATTAAAGTCAAAAGAAGCGTATTTTTAAAATTTAAAAATGATAAACATATATTACTTTTTCAGTCAAACAAATATAAATAACATATGTCCAGTGAATACATTCAGAGCAGTAAGACATTTATAGTCTTTTCTCTGTGAGTTTTAAACATCAGAACGAGTATGGAGAGAAATGCCAACTGTTTTCTCAAAGGCGTGTCAGCTTTATACTTTCCCTTCTACCCCAGCATCATTGCTACAGGGTCGGAAGCTGGGAGGGTGTAGGGAGGGGAGGAAAGGCTGTGCGGCTGGCAAAGGACGGACTGAAGTGGGCAACAAACAAGCTTAATGATTTGCCTTTTCTGTTCCACTTCTACCTTTCTGTACTAAGGCCAGTGTTGCAAAAAAATGTGAGACTCTCAAACTTAGACCCAGATTCTGGGCTTTCAGGGGGCAGCCCCCTTTCCCCACACCCTCTCCTGTACCTCCAACCTCCATCCAACTGCAGAAAACTGCAAGGGGACAGAGAAGGAAAGGCAAGGATTGAAAGTGTTAGAGCACTTTGAAGAATTCCAGCACCAATACCTAAGTGTGCTAAGTTTGGCAAATTTTCTCATTACAGTCTCCCTAGGTCCGTAGGTATATCAAAAAGAATACCTTTGTGGCTATTAGACCTTTTCCTTTCCTGCTCCATACACTTCACCTGTTTCATTCTAGGCTTGAGAGATAGGATATCAATATAAAATATCAATATTGATGCATTTATCTTGACCCCCACGTCCTCTCACCACTGCTATGGGGCAGCTTGTAAATGACTGCTGTTCTTTTTTTCTGGAAAGGACTCAGCCACTTTTCCAATGTTTTAAGTGCATGTTCGTCTCCTACATTATTTACTGAATGTTGGACCATTTTCAGTTGTGTCCTACACGTGGTCCAAACCTCTCTAAGACCCCACACGGAGTCCAGAATAAAATTGTTAAATTTCAGTATTATTCATTCTCTACCCTGCAGATATTAAGTAAGGAATCCTGATGCCTTTCTTGATACCAGAGACATTTATTTTCCTTTCCATGTTGGCAGCAGTATTTTTTATTTGGCTACTGATGAGAAATTGGTTAGGGGAATTTTATTCCATTTCACTTCTTGGATGTAAATGTGAATGTAATTAATCATTAGCCAGGTGCAGTCTTCCCAATCAAAGAGACATCTCTCAGATATCAAAACTAATGATCACATTGTTGATCAGAGAATTCAGGGGCTTGCAGAGTGGAAGAAGAACTGGATTTGGTTTTTGTTTTTGTAAAAATAAATTCCCTTAAAAAGCAAGAGAGGGACTGGACAGTAAGATCTGCAGAGATGTGGTGATGATGACCATTTCAGCATTTAGACTATATCCCCTAGGACCCAGAGAAAGTACATCATTATGGCAAAGAGTGTGAATTCTGGTTCTGGTAACCATTTTAATGAGAATTGAGAGCAACTACCCCCCCAAAATTTATTATGTAGTGATAAAACAATAAAATACTTAACCAATTTCTTGCCCAGTACATGACTTGCTAGATGGTAACTATTTTCATAATTTCTGCTTCTGCTGTGTTAAAGATTAGGTTTCATAGTGTTGTCTCCTTCATTCAGGTGTGCCAAGGATGACTCCAAAGATAGAGGATTTGCCAGATCGTATAGAAGTGAACAGTGGTAAATTTAACCCCGTCTGCAAAGCATCTGGCTGGCCGCGACCTGCTATTGAAGAAATGACCCTGGTGAAGCCAGATGGGACAGTGCTCCGTGTAAGAGTTATTCTCTCTCTCTCTTTTTTTCAGTAGAACAAATTATAGCTTTTTAAAAAGTTGAAGCATAGTTGATTTACAGTGTTGTGTTATTTTCAGGTATATAGCAAAGTAATTCAGTTATATTTTTCAAGATTATTTTCCATTAAAAGTTATTACAAGATATTGAATATAGTTCCCTCTTTTATACACTAAATCCTTTTTGTTTATATAGTGGTTTGTATCTACTAATCCCAAACTCCTAATTTATCCCCCACTTCCCCTCTTCCTTTCCTCAGTGGTAACCATAAGCTTGTTTTCTAAACTATAAGTTTGTTTTCTATGTCTGTGAGTCTGTTTCTGTTTTGTAAATAAGTTCATTTGTGTCATATTTTAGATTTCACATATAACTAATATCATGATATCTGTCTTTTTCTGTCTGATTTGCTTCACTTAGTATGATAATAAGTCCATCCATGTTGCTGCAAATGGCATCATTTTACTCTGTTTTATGGCTGAGTAGTATTCTATCATGTTTATGTATGTGTGTGTGTGTATGTGTATCACATCTCAGACAAGACTGGGTATTCATTTCTGGCACTTACCCCTGGTTAGGGTGCTACCACAGTATTTTTCTTTGCTTGAAAGAAATAAGGACTAAGCTAATTTTCCACGTTTCCCTTCCCTCTCCCAACAATGCCAAATGCAGCAGAGACAGGTACCACCTCAAATTTCTCTGTGTCACAAATGGTCTGCAGAAAATTGATTTATATTATTATCTAAAGACTTTGAACTAGTTATTTTATTTTTCTCCCAAAGATGACCAAAAATCAACTTGATCAGAAGGTAGATCCAAGTGATGTCTTAGGGGCAGAATACGCAGAATATTCACACATCAGATGTTCCTGATTCCACTTTAACAATCCACTAGGTATAGCAGGAGCCAATTGACAGCTTCCAAAATCTTTTTGGCCTGTCCTAGTCACAGCTACCTTCTAGTGAGGGCTGACCGCACTACACACATCTCACTTAACATTAGTTAGTTATTTTGCAGAAGTGGAAACTGGTTGGGTGAAGTTAAATAACTAAAGAAAGTGAGAATCACTCAGTCATGTCCAACTCTTTGTGACCCCATGGATGGTAGCCCACCAGGCTCCTCTGTCCATGGAATTCTCCAGGCAAGAATGCTAGAGTAGGTTGCCATTCTCTTCTCCAGGGGATTGTCCTAAGCTTGGAATCAAACCTGGTCTTCTGCACTGCAGGCAGATTCTTTACTCTCTGAGCCACCGGGGAAGCCCAAGGAATTGGCCAAAACTGGCAGAGCTCAGGCCCATGTGTTTTCAGAGCCTTGACTTTTTCCATAATACCATACTCAGCAGCCTCTCAAACACTTCAGAAGCCATTTTGTCTTTTCACCCAGCCATCACTACATTGGACCAGAAAGGAACAAATGTTACCAGAAGCAGTTTAGAAGGAATTAGACTTTTTGCTTGGAAGTGTTTATCCCATACTCCCAAACACACAACTACAACAGCAGGATCTGCAAGGGCGTCAATCCAACATAAACTTGCAGGGTTACTACAATAGCTTTGGAAATAAGCCAATGCTTATACAAGCATTGGACTGATCTTCTTAATCTCTCCTAGAAAACTTATTTAACAATGAGATGGGGTCAGTGTTATGAACCTTTGTGTTTATACCTCTGTAGAAGCTTCTTTTTTATTTTTTGTATTTGACCTTTCCAGCCAAAAGACTTTAACCACACGGGTCATCTCTCTGTGGCTACCTTCACCATCAACCGGATCCTGCCCCCTGACTCAGGAGTCTGGGTCTGCAGTGTGAACACAGTGGCTGGGATGGTGGAAAAGCCTTTCAACATTTCTGTTAAAGGTAAGTTCCATTTTCCAGAGGAAGAGATTGTATCCTTGATGATTCTGCATTTATGTATTGCTGGGTGCTGCCTTTAGATAGAAATGCCCTCTGACCACTAAAATGCCTTTTGGATGTTCTCCAGGATACTAAGCCTTAAGCAAAAAAATTACGTGCATTGAAATGGAAAGGAGGGAATTAAGTTTATGACTTTTGGAATTACATAGCCCTGGGTTTGATTTTTGTGGCTGACAGCTAGTAAACTTGGGTGTGGCTTTGAATGGCAAATGAATTTGACCTCTCTGTTCAGTTCAGTTCAGTTGCTCAGTCTTGTCCAACTCTTTGTGACCCCATGGACTGCAGCATGCCAGGCCTCCCTGTCCATCACCAACTCCCGGAGTTTACTCAAACTTCTGTCCATTGAGGCGGTGATGCCATCCAGCCATCTCATCCTCTGTCAGCCCCTTCTCCTCCTGCCTTCAATCCTTCCCAGCATCAGGGTCTTTTCCAATGAGTCAGTTCTTCACATCAGGTGGCCAAAGTATTGGAGTTTCAGCTTCAGCATCAGTCCTTCCAACGAATATTCTGGACTGATTCCCTTTAGGATGGACTGGTTGTATCTCCTTGCAGTCCAAGGGACTCTCAAGAATCTTCTCCAAAACCACATTTCAAAGGCATCAATTCTTTGGCGCTCAGCTTTCTTTATAGTCTGATTCTCACATCCATCCATGACAACTGGGAAAACCATAGCTTTGACTATTCAGACCTTTGTTAGCAAAGTAATGTCTCTGCTTTTTAATATGCTGTCTAGGTTGGTCATAACTTTTCTTCCAAGGAGTAAGCATCTTTTAATTTCATGGCTGCAGTCACCATCTGCAGTGATTTTGACCCCCCAAAATAAAGTCTGTCACTGTTTCCACTGTTTCCCCATCTATTTCCCATGAAGTGATGGGACCAGATGCCATGATCTTAGTTTTCTGAATGCTGAATTTTAAGCCAACTTTTTCACTCTCCTCTTTCACTTTCATCAAGAGGCTCTTTAGCTCTTTAGTTGTTCTGCTGCTGCTGCTGCTGCTAAGTCACTTCAGTCGTGTCCGACTCTGTGCGACCCCATAGACAGCAGCCCACCCGACTCCTCTGTCCATGGGATTTTTCAGGCAAGAGTACTGGAGTGGGTTGCCATTGCCTTCTCCAGATGTACTCTGCATATAAGTTAAATAAGTAGGGTGACAATATTACAGCCTTGTCGTACTCCTTTCCCGATTTGGAACCAGTCTGTTGTTCCATGTCCAGTTCTAACTGTTGCTTCTTTACCTGTATACAGGTTTCTCAGGAAGCAGGTCAGGTGGTCTGGTATTCCCATCTCTTGAAGAATCTTCCACAATTTGTTGTGACCCACACAAAGTCTTTGGCATAGTCAATAAAGCAGAAGTAGATGTTGTTCTGGAACTCTCTTGCTTTTTGAAGGATCCAGCAGGTGTTGGCAATTTGATCTCTGGTTCCTTTGCCTTTTCTAAATCCAGCTTGAACATCTGGAAGTTCACGGTTCATGAACTGTTGAAGCCTGGCTTGGAGAATTTTGAGCATTAGTTTGCTAGCATGTGAGATGAGGACTATTGTGTGGCAGTTTGAGCATTCTTTGGCATTGTCTTTCTTTGGGATTGGAATGAAAACTGATATTTTCCAGTCCTGTGACCACTGCTGAGTTTTCCAAATTTGCTGGCATATTGAGTGCAGCACTTTCACAGCATCATCTTTTAGGATTTGAAAGAGCTCAACTGGAATTCCATCACCTCCACTAGCTTTGTTCGTAGTGATGCTTCCTAAGATCCACTTGACTTCACATTCCAGGATGTCTGGCTCTAGGTGACCTGCCTGAACCTTTCTTTATTTGTAGATAAAGCTTAGCTTATCTGCCACTCAGGGTGATTGTGAGATGGTTAAGTAGTGGAATTGCACCTGGCACAAGTCTGGTAGTGATTCTCTTTTGTAGAAAGTTTAACTTCATCATTGTCTTGATTTCTGATTCACTACAGAGAAGTTAGAGAATCTTTATTTGCAGACTACTCACTTAATATGAAGCCCAGGCTATGCTATACAGTGAACATGAATGATTTTCTCATATATTCAGAGTTCTGAATATTCTTCCTACTATGAAATAGTATTTCAAAATTCAGAATTATTCCAAGTGGATTTGTGTACATTTGAGGCTTGAGGGGAAGGAATAGAGTGGAAGTAAATCCAAGTTCCCTTGGTTGTTGTACAGAGATGTAATACAAATTTTAAATTTGAAAGTTACTTTTGAATGTATTTAGACAAAAGCACCTAATAACTCTGTGATATGTATTCTAGAAAGGCATTGTACTAAATATTTCATTCATTTTATTATTTTAAAAATATTCATTGTATTTATTTATTTGGCTTCGCCAGGTCTTAGTTGTGGCAGGCAGGATCTTTAGTTGTGGCATGTGGGATCTAGTTCCCTGACTAAGGATTAATCCCAGGCCTCCTGCTTTGGGAGTGCAGAGTCATAGGCACTGGACACCAGGGAAGTCCTATCTTACTTCATTTTTATAAAGACCAGGCACAATAGTATTGTTATCCCCTCTTGATCAGTCCAGAACTAGGTTCAGAGGTTTAGGTGACTTGCCTAAGGTAGCCCATCTTGTGAACAGCCAATCTCAGTTTTGAACCTGGTCCAACCCTGCATCATCATTTCTAGATCATTTTGCTTTCTTAGTCTCTCCTGTTACAGATAAGGAAGCAAGATAACTGAAGTTGATGTGTATGTAACCTACTTCGCTACTTGATTAGGAATCTTTGGGTGATCCTAGAGGTAATTTCTGTCAATGAAAGTAAATACCCAGAACATAATCTTGTTTTAAAAAAAGGTCAGTAACAATAGTAACATAAATAGAGCCTCACAGAGTTAGATTCTCTGCCCTTAGAACCCACAGAAACAACCTCAGAATCTTTAATATTTTTTTTGATTACTGGAAAAGCCTGGATCTATTTTATTCAGTAGAACATTAACACAATCAAAATAATTTCTTACATCATACTTGTTCTTGGAAGAAAGGAAATGATATGCAGACAAGACAAATTATGTTATTTTTGGAATATTTGCCGTCCATGGAAAGTAAATAATAAGTAAAAAAACAAACCATGTTGCTAAGATTCAGAAGAATCACTGATGCTAATTTTTATTTTTTAAATAAGACACAGCACACAACATCAGTCCATTGAAATATCTCTAGTTCTAAGTCACTGATGCCTCTCCACTGTCATATTGACTGGTATCCTCAAAATGGAAAATTGCAAGTAGGTAAATTAAGCCGTGTCTTTAATCATAATATTAAAAAAGATACAGAGATACAGATCGCCTTCAGTATTTGTAGGGGATTGGTTCTAGGACCTCTTTGGATACCAGACTCCACAGATGCTTAAGTCCCTTTTATAAAATGCTGTGGTATTTGCGTACAACCTGCACACATCCTCCTGTACACTTTAAATCATCTCTAGATTCCTTAAACAATAGCCACCCCCCCAGCTGTGGTTTCACTTTCCAAGGTTTCAGTTACCCATGGTCAACTGAAGCTCAAAATACTAAATGGAAAATTCCAGAAATAAACAATATGTAATTTTTAAATTGAGTAGCGTGATGAAATCTCACACTGTCCCACTCCATCCTGCCTGGGATGTGTGTCTTCCCTTCATCCCAGTAGACATCTACATTATCATTTCCTCTGTCATGGTATCAAAATGCTCATGTTCAAGTAAACTTTCTTGTATTTAACAATGTGATGCTAGCAATTTGAATATTCCCTTACTCTGCCTAATTTATAAGTTAAACTTTACCTCTGGTATGTGTGTATGGGAGAAAAAATGGTGTATATAGAATTTGGTACTGTCTGCAGTTTCAGGCATCCACTGGGGTCTTGGAAAGTATCCCCTGCAGATAAGGGGGATTATTGTAACACCTAATACCATGTAAATGCTATGTAAAGAGTTGTAACTATAATATAAATATTTTGTAAATAGTTGCTGGCACATGGAAAACTTCAAGTTTTGCCTTTTAGAACTTTATGGAGTTTTTTTTTTCTTCTTCTTTCTGAATATTGATCTGCCCTTCGTTGAATCTGCAGATGTAGAACCTGTATATAGAAGGTTGACTATACTAGACTTTCCTCCCAGAGTACAAATTAGAACCACCACTTTGGAAAATTGGCAATATATACTAAAGCTAAGCATACACCTACTCTGTGATGACATTCTACAGCTAAGTTTATGCTCAAAAGAAATCAGTGCATTTGTTAAACAATCTTCAAGAATGTTCTGAGGAGTTTTATTCCTAATAGTCCAAATATGCATCAGCATTAGAAAGAATAAGTAGATTGTGTTATATTCATATGTAATAGGTTTCTAGGGTTGCGGTAGCAAAGTACTCTGGACTGAGTGGCTTAAACAACAGAAATTCATTTTCTCAGTGTTCTGGAGGCTAGGTGGGTGATCAGCGTAATCTTACATTGATCTGAGATCAACGTGTTAGCAGAGTTACTTATTTCTGAGGCTTTGCTTCTTGGCTTGTAGATAGCTATATTCTCCCTGTATCTTCTCAAGGTCTTCCCTTTGTGTGTGTGTGGTAATTTGATATTCTTATGAGGGCCTCCCTGGCAGCCCAGATGGTAAAGAATCCACCAGCAACTCAGGAGACCAGGGTTTGGTCCCTGGGTTGGGAAGATCCCCTGGAGAAGGGTTTGGCTACCCACTCCAGTATTCTTGCCTGGAGAATTCCATGGACAGAGACGCCTGACTGGCTATAGTCCATGAGGTCACAAAGAGCCAGACACGACTGAGTAACACAGTAATGAGGACAGCCATCATATGGACTTAGCGATGACTGTAGCCCTCACTGTAACTGAATTACCTCTTTAAAGGCCCCCATCTCCAAATACTGCAACGCTCCCCTCACACAGCAAGGGTGATGTGCAGGGCTGGCTTCATGGGCTTAGGACATGTCCACACAGGGCCCTACACCTGGTTTAAGTTTCTGCTGTCTTCAACTTGAAATTTTATCTTTGAATTTCACGAGTGAAGTCCAGTGACACTGTGGAGCTTGTGCATGAGCAGAAGAGACAGATTCACAGTCTGCCTCCTTTCTTGGCCACCCCATTCCCATACATGTTCTCCATGCCCCAGGAGTCTGGTGGACCTCTTAACTCACGCGAGTTCAGTAAGACTCAAAGCAAGTTGAGTAAGTTGAGCTACTTCTATAATTGAGTAAACAGGATACTGACAGCCTGACAAGACATCCTTTCCTTTCAAACCAGAAGTTGCTTCACATGGTAAACATACTGTACATCTGTTTATATGCCATGCCCCTTATGGGGGCTAAAAACTATTAAAATATCTAAGAATGTTTTCTTTCATCAAGAACAAATTTTTTCCTTGTTGGGGGTACTATTTCAGTCCCATTGAGAATACACGATCTTTGAGATGGGGACATCATTCTGGATTATATAGGTGTGCTCAGTTCCTTACTCATGACCGACTCTTGTGACCTCATGGACTGCAGCCTGCCAGGCTCCTCTGTCCGTGGAATTCTCCAGGCAAGAATACAGGAGTGGGTAGGCATTCTCTTCTCCAGGGGATCTTCCTGACCCAGCAATCAAACCTGGGTCTCCTGCATTGCCGTCAGGCAGATTCTTTACCATTTGAGCCACCTGATTATCTAGGTGGACCCATTCTAATCACAGGAGTCTTTAAAGACTGTCAGAAAGAGATATCACAACAGAAGAAAGGTCAGAGAGACATGAGTTTGTTGTCTTTGAAGATGGACGAAGGGACCATGAGTCAAGGAATACAGGTGTTTTTTAAGAAGCTGAAAAGAAGAAAACAAATTATCCCCTACAGCCCATAGAAAGGAACACAGCCCTGTTAACACCTTGATCTTAGCCCAGTGAGACTAACTACTGACCCCCAGAGACCTCTGACTGCTGACCTCCAGAGCTATAAGATAATAAATTTATGTTGCTCTAAGCAGAGAGAGAGACAGACAGACATAGCCTGGTGGTCTAGTAGGATGATTGATATTAAATAATCACACAAAGAATAATGAATTCTGAAAATTACAGTGAAGGAGAAGATCTGTGGAAGTGTGTGGCAAGTGAGTCTAACCAAGGTTCAGGGATAGACACTGTGAGGAGGTCACATCAGAGCTGAGGGTTGAATGATGAGTAAGCGTTAACTGCAGAATCGTGGGAGGTCTGGTGCATTCCTTGCAGGAGAATAGTATCAGCCAAGAATCTGAGACAGAAAGGAGCCTGGTGCATTGTTAGTTGAATGAACTGAAAGGTCACTGGGACTGGAGAGTATTGGCTGAGAGGATGAGGGAGCTAAAGAGGCGGTGGGGGCGCTATTGTGCAAGGCCTGGTAGGTCATGGTATGAATTTCAGATTTCATTCGAAATATAATGGGAACGCATGGAAAACTCTTGATCAGAGGAATGCTCATCCTTTAAGAAAGCACTCTGTGGATGGTAGGTTGGAGGGGTGAGAGCAGAGCCAGATCACAGAGCAGGTAAGTGCATTCAATCTGATCAGAGAACTCGAAGAGGGCTTTGTCAGGAATGTAAAGGCACTTATCCACTACCCCTATCTCAGAACAGCGGTAAAAACCCAAAATGTAAGGACTGATCTGATTCTTGACATTTTATTTAGTTCTTCCAAAGCCCTTGAATGCCCCAAACGTGATCGACACTGGACACAACTTTGCTGTCATCAACATCAGCTCTGAGCCTTACTTTGGGGATGGACCAATCAAATCCAAGAAGCTTCTGTACAAACCTGTTAATCACTATGAGGCTTGGCGGCATATTCAAGGTAAGATTTGGCAAGGAAATGCTCCAGCAAGAGATGGGACACCAGGAAAAGAAATTTGTCCCCAAATGTAGACATCCTCTCTCTCAATCTCAACCCTCCACCCCAAGGTAGGGGCTGTGGCAGTGGATTCTACTTTGGAGTATTCAGGAGAGAGTGGTAGGGTGATGGCTCCTCTGAGTTCTGGGTCTACCTTTCTGAAAGTCATGATGTAAAATGGGACACAGAACCAGCCTGTGTCAGGAGCTACTATCTTCATCAATACTTCCTGTCCAGGTTTCTCTGGATCCAGTCCCATTTTTACTCTGTCTTGCTTGGTCATGGTAAAAGACACATGTTTATGCTATGAATATGGTAACAGGGAAGTCCAGGACCCACTGGAAAGGCAGAGACTTAATCTGCTTACATCTGAGGGGTGATTGTTGCTACTGTTGTTGCTGTCCAGTCACCAAGATGTGTCTGACTCTTCATGACCCCATGGACTGCAGCACACCAGGCTTCCCTGTCCCTCACCATCTCCCAGAGTTTGCTCAAGTTCATGTCCATTGAATCAGTGATGCCATCCAACCATCTCATCTTTGGTCAACCCTCTTCTTCTGCCTTCAATCTTTACCAGCATCAGGGTCTTTTCCAATGAGTCAGCTGTTGCTACTGAACCAAGTTTTTTTTTTTTTTTTTTCTTATTTGAGTTTGCCCTGTCTGCAGTCTCCTAACTCACAGAAATTTGGGGAGGAATTTGGGGTGTGGCAGACTGGACTGGGGTAAGGGGAGGTGGGGGTACAGATCTGTCCCCAACTTTTGAAAGCAAAAGCCCCAAATGTAATAAACTGTCAAACATTGATGAAAACAGTTAAATTTATTTATTTTAAGTTAAATTTACTTTGAAACACAAATTTCAGTCCTGCTTGTTGCATGATGATGTAATAGCACTTTTTTTTTTAAGCTGAGCACCATCTATTGACCCAGCTGCTTAAATTGTGCCATCTTATCATGAGACATGCCACAGCCACACTTGTAGGGAACATACACACCTCCATCAATACTCTAGTCTCACAATGTCCATGAATTCCTAAAAGGGCCCTCTACCCATGACTGCAATGAAGGAGACACCAGAGACACTAGTTCCATCCCTGGGTCTGGAAGATCCCCTGGAGATGGAAATGGCAACCTGCTCCAGTCAGTATTCTTGCCTGGGAAATCCCATGGACTCAGGAGCCTGACAGGCTACAGTCCAAAGTGTTGCAAAGAGTCGGACACAACTGAGCAACTAAGCTCATATAATCAAGGAAGTTACCAAAAAAGAAGAAAACAAAGGCTTGGGGCTTAATAATACTAGCTGACCTGAGTACGTTGAAAAAAGTCATGGTGGTATTACGGAACTCTTCACATTCTTTTGAACACCCATCCAAAATTCAGAATCCCAGGAGCATAAGTCTGATTTGCTGGACTGTTGTTTCTATGGGCAATGGCTAGGTCTTTTGAAAAAGCAGCTTAAAAAAAAAGATATTGATAATCCATCATCTCTTTATGGACATCCACAAAGAGGTCTTCTAAAAACCCTTAAACACAGTCCAGTATTTTTCCTTACTGACTTTATCATGTGGTAAGGCAAAAATCTACCTTTGCAATATTCATAGCTCAGAAGAAAATAGCTCAGAAGAAAAGAAGCACATGTCATTTGTTTCTGGGAGGTATTTTCAAATACTTCAGAACCCTTTATTTATTATGACATGACTATTACAAATTTGTTGTCTGATTAGTGTAAGCAAACCCGCAAAGAGTCTTTTCTCTTGATAGCTTGATTGAAATCACTGTTTGCGCTTGAAAACAGTAGATGTTAAGTTATTTTATATTATTCTAATTGAGTTTTCCCTCCTAAATCTGATTGATACTCCCTATAGTTAAGATGTGCTTGATTTTACTCTACAAATGAAAATACAGAAACACTGGAGCAGAAATGTATGAGTGGCACAGAGATACTTACATGAAAAAGCCTTGTTTTCTTTTATAGTAGGGACACAGACCCTGAAGATGGAATTGCCTCTCTGTTCTACTCAGATATTGTATTTTTAAAAACCAAATATTAGTTCCCATCACAATAACAGCATTCCAGTTTAAAGAATGTAAAAGATTGCCAACTTGAGTTTCCTGGACTTTCCCTCTTCTCAGTGACAAATGAGATTGTTACCCTCAACTATTTGGAACCTCGGACGGAATACGAGCTCTGCGTGCAGCTGGTCCGGCGCGGAGAGGGTGGAGAAGGCCATCCTGGCCCTGTGAGGAGGTTCACCACAGCTTCCATCGGTCAGCTGAAGCAAACAGGCATTTATTCAGGAGCTGGGTGGGTGGGGGAGGAAGGGGAAAGAGGAAGGAAGACCAGGAAGGGTGGTGGTGGGTGAGCGGGTGGGTGGGAAGGGTGGTGGAAGGGGTTTGCTTTTGAATGGGTGGGAAAGTGACAGGAAGGCTAGAGACTTGGAGCCAAGCCAGCCCTTTATTTGGGCTGCTCTCCTGGTCTGTCTCCCTGGGGGAGGGGGCTAGAGTGATCCACCGGGACAGAGAAGGAAGCAGATGAGCCTTCAGGAAGGCAGGGACATCCCTGAGGACTTGGGATTTACTTTGTAGCAACTGTGTTCAGTCTTGGCTCCTGAATTTTACCACCAGCTTCCTGTTTCCATCTTAAGGGCCCAGGCCAGGCTCTTGCTGCATACATACTCCAGAAATCCCAGTGTGTTTATAAAGTAATTTCTAGCTTTTCAAAGTCATTCACACACATGGTGAACACATCAAATAGATTGAAAGGTTTTTCAATTAGTCCTATGCTCTATCCCTCCATTTCCCCATCCTATTTCCTTTATCTCCTTGAGCCATATGATATATACCGCCCTGTTTCTCTCCTGGCATGGCATGCAGGATCTTAGATCCCCTTACTTCCTGGACTAGGGATAGAACCCATGCCCCCTGCAGTGGAAGTGCCGGGTCCTAACCACTGGACCTCCAGGGAAGTCTCTACCTCTGTGTTTCTAAATCAATGGTTCTGAAACATTATTTTCCATCAGAATCATCTGCTCAGCTTATTAAAACAAATTTCTGGGCCTTGCCTCCACGGTTTCAGATTCAGAAGGTTTGGAGTGGGAATGGGGCTCAAGAGTCTCCTTTTCTAATAAGTTCTCCAGTGATGTATGATGCTCTGGTCTTAAGTGTACATATTCTAAGTGTAGCACTATTTCTTGATGGGTCAATGTCAGTCAATAGCTATCAGTCTTCTATTGTGTAAACTTAGGAGCCTCTGAATTTGTGAAGTTTCCTTGATGCTAGCCTGAACTCCAGCTTTCTGCTTCCCAGTTCCCCTCCTCTGAAAGGTCTGAGTGAGTCCTTTTAACGTCCTCTTTAGTGTTTAATGTGCCTTGAGTGTAACCGTTCTGTTACTATCTCTTGGTCAGTGCTCCCCAGTTTCAGGTTCACATTTATTTAATTCTTAGAATTGTCATCTTTCCCATTTTATAGATTGAAAAGTAGAGTCCCAGAGTGGTTAATAACTTGGCTATGGTGATGTATCAGATTCTTCATCATCATACTAGATCTTCAGACTTGATCCCTTTCTGTTTCTCCAGTTATTAACTATTTTTTTTAACCTGGAGCCCAAAGGCACCAAATCCTTTCCCGATTGATGAGTTTTCCTAGTTTTCGTCCACTTACTAAAGGCAGAAGGATATGGGATGCTCTAGTGAGAAACTAGGAAGAGCATCAAGCTCTCCTGCAAAGGTTGTGCATTCCTCATACACTCTTCCCTCCACACCCCCCACCTAGTATCCATCTGACCGGCAGCATCGTTAATGAACCAGATGAAACTCAGGAGCTGCTCTGATGCTTGTAGAAGCATTGTACAAGTAAGAGGTGGCTTCCTGGGAACCCACCAGGTAAAAACACCAAAAATAACACTGGCAGGGACTTCCCTGGCCGCCCAGTGCTTACGACTTTGCCTTCCAATGCAGGGGGTGTGTGTTCGATCTCTGGTCAGGGAGGTAAGATCCCCCTTGCCTTGCAGCCAAGAAACCAAAACATAAAACAGAACCAATGTTGTAACAAATTCAATAAAGACTTTAAAAATGGCCCACATTAAAAAAAAAAATCTTAAAAAGAAAATAACCCTGGAAACCACATATAACTTAGAGGATAAAAGGAACCTCCATGACTGTGATGCAAGGGGCCCCTGAAATGTCATCAGGTTGTTGCTACGAAGCAAACGGCAGCTTATTCTCTCCTAGGCCAGTGCTGATGAATCAAAAGGGGAAGGGCACAATCTGACTCAGATGGAAAGTATTTATGGAACAGAACATAAAACACTTAACAGACCCACAGTGTGCTGTCTTCAGCTCTCAGAATATGTTCCAGCCAGGATGTATTCAGAGGTCTCTTGGAATATTTCAAAGTAGTTCTCAGGGGTGGGTGGGAAGGGAATTCTTAAAGGTTCATCTTTTCCCATCATTTGAGTTTTGCTGATGTTTGTTTTTAAATTCATTTGGCAGTCACACTATTTATAAGTGTGTTGACTGAGTGGCAAAGGCCGGGAAGGCCAGGAGGGGAGGGGACAGGACACACTCTGAACACAGGCAGAAAGAGGGCAGGTAGGGAGGGGTGACGGGTAAGCCATGCTCTCAAAGGGAGGGGAAAGAGGAAATGACCATTTATGGGGCTGCTCCTCTGCACAAGGCACAGGCTTAGAAGGTTTGCATGTTTGCTCTGCACCATCAGTCCTCTTTCCGTCTGTTGTGTTGTTACAAGCCTGCCTGGCCATTCCAGGTGGCTTATTTTGGAACTTTAGAGAAGTGCAAAGGGAGGTGATGGCACCTCTCACAATTTTCAAAGGTTATGGAGAAAAGACCAACGAGACCTGTAGCATAGTGCCAAGCAGGTGGCAGACCTGATTGCTGGTTCTCCCTCGTTTATGGGTGGTAAAGCTGTTAGTGAGAGTCCCTCTCCTGAGGAGTGGAAATAGACACTTCCTGTCACCTCTGACCAAGTTTCTCAGCCTTCTTACTTTATTTTTTTATTTTTATTTTTTCATTTTATTGGAGTATAGTTGATTTACAATGTGGTGTTAGTTCAGGGGTACAGTAAAGTGATTGTTATATATACATTCATTTGTTTCCACTTCTTTATATTATTATTATTTTTTTAAAATTTTAACCCTCTAAAGAGCTTCTTAGATAGTTTTGTCCTTAAGACACCACCCCTGTTTTGTTTTGATGTCTCTTCTGCCATGAATTTTAATACCATAAATTTGTTTATATATTGTGGTCCTTCATAAACCATTGTAATTATCTAAAATTTTCTCATACCCCAAGGACCAATTTTTGCCCCCTTAGGGGCAGTAATGTCCCCACTGAAAATGCATGAGGAGAGGATCCCTATTCTGTGTTTTGAAAATATTTTATATCTGGAGTTTAAAATATCAGTGTGCTGTTATTAGTTGAAAACTTGCAGATTCCTTCTCTGTCCATTGATACAACATAAGGTAGGAAGGAAGGGAGGAGGAAAATGTTGATGGAACCCCTAACACCTTCCAAGCATTTTCACCTCCATTGTCTCATTTCTCCTCCTGAGTCTGGAAGGTGAGTGTTTTTATTTCATGCTACATAAATTTTCCTAAGGTCATGGAACTAAAGGGGCATGCTTCTGCCTCTTTGACTTCACAACTCAAGTTGTTTCCATTCAGTTACCTCTCTGGTGACCCAGGTTCTTTGGGGTAATTATGGCCACACAGCCTGTGGTCAGAGCCAAACCTTGATGTGATCAGAGCCTGGCCCTGCCAGGCTGTGTTGTCACGTGTGAAATTGTCCCTGCTAAGGGGATGTAACCCTGAAATTGCTTTAAAACATTGCTCAAAACGGGAACAGAAACACTGAATGCTCACCTGCAACCCCACAACCTTGGCAAATCCAGTGTTTCCAGTTTTTTCAGTTTCCTTCCTCTTTCACCAATGGTAGACATGACTTTTCCCAAGTGGAAATTAGAGTATTTCTCATGTGGTACAAGTTTTGGAGGGGCTTCTCTACTTTTCATAATAATACTTTAATCCTTTGGATGGCTATATCATAATTTATTAAAACATTTCCCTACTTTGAGCATTTAGGTTTCTTATGATTGTTTGTTATTATAAAAAATGTTGTAAGGGACATCTTCATGTCCTTAGCCTTTTTGCTTCCTTTGAGTTATTTCTTCAGGATAAATCCCTGGTAGTCAGATTATACAAAGTATATGATCATTTCTAAGGCTCTTGAAAAATATTGCCAAGTTGTCCTTCAGAGGGGTTGTATTTTTGTCTTACAGTTACTGAAACTACACACTAATATTTTAAAGCTTTTGCTATTTTGGTAGGAAAAAAGTATTTCATGGCTGCTAGCAGCTGTTTCTTTGCTAGCTTGTATATTATTCTCAGGGTTGTCCTTTGGAGCTGTTGTTAGCTTCACTTCATATAAAAACGATGATCCTTCTGGTTTCTCCTAGGTCTTCCTCCTCCAAGAGGTCTCAGTCTCCTACCGAAGAGTCAGACCACTCTAAATTTGACCTGGCAACCAATATTCCCAAGCTCAGAAGATGACTTTTATGTTGAAGTCGAGAGGAGATCTGTGCAAATGAATAGTGATCAGCAGAATATTAAAGTGCCCGGCAACTTGACTTCAGTGCTGCTTAACAACTTGCACCCCAGGGAGCAGTACATAGTCCGAGCCAGAGTCAACACCAAGGCCCAGGGGGAATGGAGCGAAGATCTCATCGCTTGGACCCTTAGCGACAGTAAGTAACTCATGCTGCCCCAGCCGTGCCTGAACGATGCTTGGTGGCCGCCACTTAGATTTAGCTCCCATCACTTCAAGTCTGCTTCTTAGAAACCACGACAGGTAGTTAGTTGTAAGTGGAGGCCAATGAGTGCCCGCCCCTCAACACCTCAAATCATTTTAGTGACCCGCAATATCTATGAATGCTCCGTATGTTGGGACTAACAATAATTCAGGCAGGACTGTCCTACGATGTACCTTTCCTTTTTTTAAAAAAGTTTGTTTATTTTTGGCTCTACTGGGTCTTCATGGCTGTGAACAGGCTTTCTCTAGTTTCACTGAGCAGGGGCTATCCTCTAGTTGCAATGTGTGGGCTTCTTATTGTGAAGGCTGCTCTTGTTGCAGAGCAGGCTCTCTCAGGGCTTACCGGCTTCAGTAGTTGTGTCATATGGACAGTAGTTGTGGCACACAGGCCTGGTTGCTCCACAGCATGTGGGATCTTCCCAGACCAGGGGATGAGCCTGTGTCCCCTGCATTGGCATGAGGATTCTTAACCTCTGGACCACTAGGGATCCCTACCTTTCCTTTCAGTGGAGTTATTTATTAAGCAGATGGTGATTCATTACAGAGAGATCTCTCCTGATCTCAAAAGCCAAGGAACTTTGCTTGAAAATCTGCAAAACAGATAATCCTTAGCATTACAGTATATATTTGAGAGTAATGAAACAACTTTTCTCTCAAACTGTTCTTCAGGCTCTTCTCAATTTCAGAGTGTCCATTAAAAATTAGTTGGAACTTCTAGGGTTCCTTTGTAGTCTTGAAAGCTTTTTCATCAGGAACCATAGAGTTCTATTTGATTTGCTGCCATAGAACCGTCTGTGCACTTCAGAGTCGTTGCAAAGACCAGGTGCTGCTGGTCACACCAACTATCACTAACACTAGGATCCTGTGGTCTCTTGTCAACTGCCAGAGTCTGAGTTTCTCTTCTGCATCTGAGTCTCCACTTCCCCAGTAACAGTTGTACAAACTGGCTGTGGGTTTCTCCAACCAATCTCTTCTTGTATCAATAACATGTGGAAGTCTCAACCATTTTGTCAGTGTTTAGGCATTTCTTCTTCATCTTAAAAAAAATCCTGTGACAGAAGTTATAGGCCAGTACAGAGAATAATACAAAAAAACTACATTTCTACAACCCAGAATTAATAACTGTTAACATCTTGTCATCTTTGCTTTCAGGCTTTTTTGTGAAACTAATTCCACAATACAGATATATCAAAATCCTCTTTGATCATCATCCCTACTCTAATTCTCTCCCTGTGTCCCCAGAGACAACCAAAATTCTGTTTGTTAAACCAAGATTATGTTTGTTATATATCTTTCCATTCAAAATTGTATAATTTTAATACATTAAGTATACCTGTAAGTGTGCAGATGCATGCATACGCTTCATCTTGCTTTTTGTATATGTCTACTAAGTGCTTAACATATTTTCTAACAAGTGCCTAACAAGGATAGTTCCTATGGGCTGGTGGCTAACTGCAAACTAATAGAAATCCTTATTTCTTCTAGTTGAATCTGTTTCTTAAAAGCTGTGTGACCGTGGCCAAGTCACTTAATGTCTCCAGGCCTCAATACTAACAGTAAGATTGTTATGTGGAGTCAATGAGTTACAATACAAAAGGGCCTATATAAATGTCAGCTCTCATAATTTTTGTTTTCCTCAGCATCAAGAACAGTAAAATATCAGTTTGTTGAGTAACAGAATTTCTGAGGTCTTAATTCAGTTAAGGATGGCAAATATGTGATTTGTGTGTGTTACCAGTTTCCCATATGTGGCCATGTTGTCAAGTCTCTGTTGAATCCACCACAAACTGGAGTTACCATCAGAGATAACACTTAGTAGCCATTCATGGTTTATGGGCTGACATTCACTCTCTCTCAAAAGCATAATAGTCAAAGAGATGGTAATGCATCATAAGAAAAATATGTTTTTGTTTTTTTAATTCTCTCAAAAGCATAATAGTCAAAGAGATGGTAATGCATCTTAAGGAAAATATGTTTTTGTTTTTTTAATTTCTAGTTGTTCCTCCTCAACCAGAAAACATCAAGATTTCCAACATCACAGACTCTTCAGCTGTGATCTCTTGGACGATCCTGGATGGCTATTCTATTTCTGCTATTATCATCCGTTACAAGGTTCAGGGCAAGAATGAAGACCAGCACATTGACGTGAAAATCAAGAATGCCACCATCACCCAGTATCAACTCAAGGGCCTTGAGCCCCAAACAGCTTACCAGGTGGACATCTTTGCAGAGAACAATATAGGCTCAAGCAATCCAACCTCTTCTCATGAACTGATGACTCTTTCTGAATCTCAAGGTTGGTAGAGTAGACAGGTATTTACATATTATTATTTCTGCGGAGTATCAGAAAAGCCCCACTGTTTTAAGATATTTACTCCATATTCACATCTTGTGATACAACAGGCTTGTCCTTAATAGGGATCACCATCTCTAAAGAGGTCCTTAAAATGAAAATGCCCCTTGGAGGGATACCCTGTTGATCCATTTCTATTATTAAGCCTTAAATGAACTTAGCCCATCAGCACTCCCCATCTAGCAGTTGAGGGTCTGAGGAATTTGAATGTGATTCTGTGGAAAAGGAAGACTAAAGACCCAGCTTATTGGAGGAAGGCCTATGCAGTGCTTCAGTGGGAGGCTCCAGGAACCACACTCCATTCTTTCTCAAAATGAACTCTTCTTTTAACTTGGGTGATGCTATGCTATTCTGAGTTTTCTTTTACTTTTTAGATCCAGGTTATGATGGCTCTGTGTCCATCACTAATCCCTACCTCAGAGAGAATAAGCTCTTTGAGACAGAGATCCTTCAGTGCCAAGCACAAGAGGGCCAGTGTCTGTGATTTTTTTAAATTGAAATACAGTTGATGTGCAATATTATGTCAGTTTTGAGTGCACTATGTAGTGATTTGACATTTGCATATATTATGAATGATCACCACAGTAAGGCTAGTAATCACCTGTCTCCAAACACAGTTATTATTGGCTATATTCTATATGCTGTGTATTATATCCCTATGGTTTCTTTATTTCATAACTGGAGGGCTGTACCTCTTAATCCTCTCCAGTGTTTGTGGCTGGTAAAACCTGTTGAATGTAATTAGTGAGCAAGGACATCACAGGTGGGAAGAAGCTTCTGGGAGAGTACCCTTTGAGATTAGTCTGAAATTGCATTTCTTCACCCTCTGCACTGTACAGCTTGTTCAAAGGAATGTAGCTAGAGGGACTTTAGAGGGAAATGGTGATTTTTTGCAAATTTATAATTCAGACCAGCCTATTTTTACAGAAAGTATCATAGCACTAAAAACTTCTTGGTTCTTTTGAGGGCTACCTAGGGCTCAAGAAATTAAATCCAATAAGCTCTGTTTTCAGTGCTGAGTTTTTGGAATATGTTTGAAATATCCAAGGAATGTTGAGTCTGTAAATTACAGAGAATCGTAGTTTTCAGATGACACTCTTAATAAATGCATCATTTCCATAATTACTTGTATTTTCATAAAACACATACAGGCCCTAAATCCAAGCTATAAATAAAATACAAAGAGAAAAATTTAAAAACAAGATGTAACAAAACTAAAAATCCTCACCATCCCATTTCAGATATCTCTTTATGTACACATACACAGAGATAGAAGGAAAGATAGCTAATCAAAAGAATAATTGTTAGATGAGATCATGCTCTACATGCTTTTCATAAAAATACATTGAATTTAATTGTATTTTAATTTAGGCAAGGAAAAGAAGTGGAAGAGTTAAACCGTAGTGTTTAATAGTCCATTTTGACCTGAGCCCTAAATTCAATAGTTTTTCTATTTTCTCTCTTCTTTCCTTCCTTCTTTGCTTCTCCCATTGGTATTCTCAGGTTATTTTCAGCTCTTTAAAACCAGAAAAACCCAAATCAAAATATCTTACAGATTCTGTGCTCTTAGCATCATAGAGCTTGCAAGATTTTCTAGGTGGGGAAATTGTTCAGGGAGGTTTAGTCACTTTCCCAAAGTGATAGATGTATTTAGTCATTCTATTATGAGATAATATTCATCTGCTTGGGCCTGTACTTGGAAATGAAAGTTGAATGAAGGGCAACAATTAGTGATTAACATCAGTTCAGTTCAATCACTCAGTCATGTCCAACTCTTTGTGACCCCGGGGACTGTAGCAAGCCAGGCTTCCCTGTCCATCACCAACTCCTGGAACTTGGTCAAACTCACATCCATCGAGTCAGTGATGCCATCCAGCCATCTCATCCTCTGTAATCCCCTTCTCCTCCTGCCTTCAATATTTCCCAGCATCAGGGTATCTTCAAATCTGGTGGCCAAAGTATTGGAGTTTCAACTTCAGCATCAGTCCTTCCAATGAACATTCAGGACTGATTTCCTTTAGGATTGACTAGTTGGATCTCCTTGCAGTCCAAGGGACTCTCAGGAGTCTTCTCCAACACCACAGTTCAAAAGCATCAATTCTTTGGCACTTAGCAGCTTTGGTGATTAGCATGTTGACTTGTAAAAAGCCTTTTTGCACACTCCTTTGAACTTGTTAACAGCCCTGTGAGTCAGACTTGTCTCCAGTGAATTCCAGAAAATAAATGAGTAGCACTAGGTCACCTAGCCATTAGGTGGCAGGATTCAGGCTGCCATGATGTTCCCATTACACTGTGACTTCTCCTGCAGATGGCCGTGGCCTATCTCTCCATCTAGACTAACCTGCTGCTTCTCCTGCGTTCTGCTCAGCACCAGCAGACCTCGGAGGCAGGAAGATGCTGCTTATCGCCATCCTCGGCTCAGCGGGAATGACCTGCCTGACGGTGCTGTTGGCCTTTCTGATCATGCTGCAGCTGAAGAGGGCAAACGTCCAAAGGAGAATGGCTCAAGCCTTCCAAAACGTGGTAGTGTCTCATCTTCCAAGCAGTATTTTAAAGATGTGGGTCAGAAAATTTACTTGTAAAGGAAGTTATTTCCCTTAGGCAAGTTTCATCTTTTGTTTGTCTTCCATTATGAAACGGGAGATAACTAGCATGACTATATAAGTTCTTGTCCAATTCAGAACAACTCTGAGAGTGAAAAGGTTACTCTCAATAATTATGCAGAAAATTAAGCCTAAAGCAGGACTATGGCCCCATCAAAAAGAGAATAGAGTCATCCTAGTGATAAGTCACCAGTGAGAGTAATCTTGCAATATAAAGAACTGACCATTATTGTAATGAAGAGCATGAGGGGAACCATACCTCAGAGTGCTAAGTCATGAATATTGATACTCGATTAGTTTTCTTCACTTTTTTTTATTTCCAGTTTCCATTTTGTACTTCTAATAGTATCCCCCATATATATATATGAATTATATCTGCATGTGTATCTCCATCCATGGGTACCCTTCAGTCTGCAGTCAGGACTCGTGGTACTTGGCACTACTTTTTTCTTTCATCTAGGAATTTTGACCAGTTGCAAAGGTTTACAAATCACCCTTTACCAACAGGCACCGCATTTGAATCCTTGAGATAGTATAGCCTGAACATTTCTCTGTGATTTCGAGTTCTGTAAAATTAATCCGTACCCAACTTTACTGATTCTATACATGAAGCACTAAATACAATTACATATTCCAAGTGAGGTAAATCTTCCTGATACGAGCCCCTGAGATGCCCTTCAGGCTGTCACTAGAGAGGAAGGTCCAGCAGGTGGCTAGACAGTGCTGGAGCTCATCATGGCACTGATGCTTTGTCCTGATACTGCCAGCAGCCACCGAAACTCAGGAGAAAAGGAGATACTGTCTTGGGCTCGAGAGACTCTGAGCTTTAAGACAAGTGGGAGAGAGTGAGTAAGAGGCAAGGAGACCAAGATGAAGCTAGGAAAAAAGCTCTCACAGAGGCATGTCCTGTGACTTCTCCAGAGAGACCTCTGAGTTCTTTTCTTTTTTTTTTTTTTTCATAAGAATTTTTTTTTTAATTTTATTTTTTTAATTTTATTTTTTTTTATTAGTTGGAGGCTAATTACTTTACATCATTGCAGTGGTTTTTGTCATACATTGAAATGAATTAGCCATGGATTAACCAGAACTGAATAGCTGCTCATTCCACAGCAGGGTAGACACTCAAGTGTGAATAACTCAAGTAACTCAAGTGTGTGTCGTGACATACATGCTATTATCCTCCCCGCCCTCATCCCTGCAGACATAACTAATCGATTGTGGCATGCTTTCCCACCGAGGCCTATGATCATGCCCATGCAGCTCTACTGGTTGCCACTTCATCCAACTGGGCCTATTAGATGAACCCTGTTTCCATCTTCATTCTAGAACTGGGTATACTGTTTCTTTTTTTCACCTAGTGTGGGCACAAACCAGACGTATTATGTACCTTAAAAATTATGAAAAATCCTGACACAAAGCTGTTATTTTTGTAGAGGGAAGAGCCAGCTGTGCAGTTCAACTCAGGAACTCTTGCCCTGAACAGGAAGGCCAAAAACAACCCAGATCCTACCATTTATCCAGTGCTTGACTGGAATGACATCAAATTTCAAGATGTGATTGGGGAGGGTAATTTTGGCCAGGTTCTTAAGGCTCGCATCAAGAAGGATGGGTTACGGATGGACGCTGCCATCAAGAGAATGAAAGGTCAGTGCATGCCCCGATCAAGTCAGCATTTTACTAGGGTGGGGGGACAGCTTGACTTCCTGTTGAATCTTTCCTCTAAGGTCTCATATTCTTTTAAACAAAAAATTGGCATGATGTTAGATGGAGCTGTTCTATGCAGCTGAAGGTGATACTTCCTTTGAGGGTCAGGATGTAAACTTGAAGGCATGAGCTGTTTAGACGCCACTGTCTGGATTCACTGGGATGTGAGAACACAGACTCTCTGTCCCACCCTGCTGACTTTCAGGAAGCATTACTGTTTGTCTTAATGCAGTGGTTCTCAACATTGATCACGCATCCAAATCACCTGGGAGACTTGTTAAAAAACAGACTCTTCAGCTCCACCCTATGGTTTCTGATTAAGCAGATCTGGCCCAGGACCAGAAGGCTTGCATTTCTAACTAGTTCCCATGCGATACTGAGTCTCAGAATTTGGAGACCACACTTGGCAAATCACTATCTTCATGGATTATCTACATCAGCTTTCCTGGAAATAGTTAGAAATGCATCTACTTGAGTTTTTCCTCCTCGTGGTTCTAATCTATTCAAATTTCTGGGATGATGCAGGGAAAAACTGGGGTCCCTAAACTTTCTCAGTGGCTCTTCTGTACACTCAAGCTTAGAAACCATTGCTTTATGGTCACAAAGCTAGATCTTTTCCAGTTGTGTTCAAGACTGCTTAGGGCCCACTCATTGAATAAGATCTTCTGAGAAAGCAGACTGACGTGTTCCCTGGCAACGCTAGCTGTCTTCTGTTGCGTGTGAAATGGCAGTTTACGGATGACTTGATTGGGAAGCTGCACTGTTGTTTTTATATACACAGGCTTGGCAAGTTATATATTAGAGCCAGCAGTGTAATTGCCACTCGTGTTGGGCAGCTCCATAATAAGGACTTGCTAAGGTTGCTGATGGGTTTTCCTTCTTCTTGACTGCAACATTAAGCCTAAGATGACACAATTAACCCTAAGTCTTATTAAGTCATCACTGCTTTCTGCATTGCTAGAAAACACATGTCAGGAAATGAACAAAACAAAATAAACACAGTATTATTTATGCTTACAGACAGTAATGTTTCAAAACACACACACAGACGCACACCCAAACAAACCCTGCTAGAATCCAGAAATTCCTTTTCCTTTTCGAACTTTAGTCACAGGAGTTTTAGGAAGCAGTAAAAATGGTGAGAGGAGAGAGGGTGTAGAAATTTGTAGCATCAGTTTTTATGCTGACTGGGATCTGACCTGAGCTGATTGTCCATCTCATGTCCATGTAAAGAGGTAGAATAACTTAACAGCACACCAGGGCAGAAAAGTTTTGCAGGAAAAGTCATGCATGCAAAGAGGGCACTTACTGGTGTGAAGCAACAACCTATTGTAAGGAGCTTTGCTTCTAAAATGTTCCCGAGGCATTGACCCTTAGGCTCCGGTGGTATAAACAAGGTACTAGACTTAGAATTGTTACCTGTCAGCCTCATGGGTCCCCTTAGCCCATATGAAACCTTCCCATAATTTCCAAGCATGGTCAGGCATGCACATGGCTACCAGCTCTCCATCACTCTTTCCCCCAATGTTATTTCTTCAAAAAGCAATCATAGCATAATGTCACCAGCTCAAGGCTGACCAACCAGTTGCACATCAGCCAAAGAGTTTTCTCTTCAGCCTGATTGGTGGTTCTGCCTCTGATCAAAGTGCTTATGGAGAGACAGAATGACAAGAACAGAAAGAAATGCAACTGTTTCCTGACTATGAAGCAACTTCTATAAAAGTGTCATTGAGATTTGAGTTTCTTCAGCAAGTCTGGCTTATGTGGGCTTCCCTGGTGACTCAGTTGGTAAAGAATCCACCTGAAATGCTGGAGACTTAGGTTTGATCCCTTCATCAGCGAGATCCCCTGGAGAAGGAAATGGCAACCCACTCCAGTATTGTTGCCTGGAAAATCCCATGGACAGAGAAGCCTGGTGGGTTATAGTCCACGGGGTCGCAAAGAGTTGAACACAACTGAGCACAGTATTCTATTCTGGTTTATGTAAAAAGCAAAGTAAAATTATCATAATAAAGTAAGGTGTATTCACTAATGGCAATGTTTCACTAAAATTTTGGTGTTATTCCCTGGTGTGTTTGTCTCTGGAGAGCCAGGGTCTGAGAATGGACGCAGCTCCATCTCAACCAGACCATTCTTGGGATACTTGAGGGCTTCAGCAGTGGTTCCCAAACAGAGGTGATTTGGTTTCCAGTGGGGGACACTTGGTGATCTGGGTACATTTTCGGTTGGGCTACTGGTAACTAGTGGGTCAGGTTAGGGGGGCAGCTAAACATCCTCCTTGCCACAGGACAGCCCGCAACAGCAAGAAGCATTGGCCCAAAATGTGGACAGCCAAGCCCCTGTGTTAGAGTCATCTCTGATTTCTCTAACGTTTTCCAGACCCAGTGACGGCTGAGTGTACCTGAAGGTTATGGGGATCAGGGGGTACAGTTGTTTCTGATGAGGCATCACAAAAAGGGGTCACAACTCTTGACTTTCTTCCCAGAATACGCTTCCAAAGATGACCACAGGGACTTCGCTGGGGAACTGGAGGTTCTTTGTAAACTTGGACACCACCCAAACATCATCAATCTCTTGGGAGCATGTGAACATCGTGGTAAGATGCTCTTTTCCTGTTTCTCCTGCCAGATTTGTTTTTAAAAAAAGAAAGAAAATCAGGCACATTCCATATTGAAGTTAGGAAAGATAAGTCATCTAAGATTGCTACCTACTTTTTAAGTTGCAATTTCAGTCTGAATGTCTGGCCCCATGAATAGACTGTGCTGAGATGTGGCATGTTTTTCAAGGGGGCTCCCAAGAGTGAGTCTTTTGGCTTCTGATGCAGTTCAATTAATAATGCCAAAAGATACCCACAGCTCCTACATGCTCCCATCTTTGCTAATCCAGAGGTTTTCTCAGTCACTACTAGGTGGGTGGAGGCTGCACTCAGCACCAGGAAAAGTGAAGTACGTTGCTTCTTCTTAGTTGACTTTTCATTTTCCCTCCAAACCCAAGTAACCAATACTCCAAATGTTAAATCTGTGAATGCCAATAATCTACTGTAATGTGAAAGGACTGATGATACTTAGGTTAAAAGAATAATAATAAGCCTATATCTAATAGTACTTTGTTTTCATCCAAAACAATGCCCTGTACAATTACATTGAAGCTTTATAACTATCCTATGTCACACATACTCTTAAGTTCAAGTCATATTATTAATTCAAATGTTTATTGAGTATTTCCTATTGTAATGTGTGGAGTTAGCTGTGAATGAGTAGGTAATAAGAAATCTATGGGTTTACCTCTGCATGCTACCTGGGTTTGCAGTTCTAAATCCATGCTTACTCTTAATTTCCCATGGAAAAATTTACTCCAAGCAAAAAGCTCCACATGGCAATTATTTGCAAACTTTACAACCTCTTGTTGACTTTGCAGGACAAATACCAACAATGGAAAAGAGACTACTTCCTTTTCCTCAATTTATTAAACTAAAAATACTGGTACTTCAAACAATATATCATTCTGTGATCCAATAAGGGTGTAATTCTGAAAGTCAGATAATGTCTCTTAGGTTAAATAATGAAGTAATGACACTTATTTTTGAGCTATTTCCTGAGAACAGTAATCAGCATGGGACAGCAGTAAATGAATGTTTAAAAAAAAAAACTTTTAGTGACAGAAGAATATATGTCTTTTAAAATTTTGCTCTATTGTCACATAATTGGCTGACTCTTAAAATTGTATAGTTCAGTAAAGTGAGAAAATACATTCATATCAGAATTGAGGTATATCTTTCCTTATAGTACAACAGGATTCAGTGCTAGAAGCTTTTTTTTTTTTTTAAGAATTTCACTTCCTTAGAATATCTTTGAAGTTTAAATTCATTTTACATAAAAAGTATATACCAAATAATTCACTTTTAAAAAATAGTAAAACAGAGCACTATACTTTCATTGGCTTCAAAGATGACTAATTGTTATCAGAGCAGATTCAGTTCAGTTCAGTTCAGTCACTCAGTCGTGTCTGACTCTTTGCGACCCCATGAATTGCAGCACGCCAGGCCTCCCTGTCCATCACCAACTCCCGGAGTTTACTCAAGATTACATTTCATTAAAAAAAGAAAAGGGAGAAAACAATTTGGAATAAAACTAAGACAATGAACCATACTTTCCTGTAGGAAATGTTTTATTTTTTTCCTAAAAGGTTGACATTTCTGGTTTCTGTAAGCAATATTGCAATCTCTGACACTAGACGTTGCTGACCAGTGATGCAGTCAACAATCTAATTGACTTAGTCTGGCTTTTAGGAAGGAGCAGAAGTCAGGAGAGAGAGGAAGTTACCTGGTGTGGGCCCTTCTGCTTTGGGTAATCATTTGTTTGTTTTAAAAAATAACCTCAGGTGAAGCTGGATTCATACTGGAATAACATGTCTGGTTCATATTAGGTTCTCAGTCAATATTGAATGAAAAATAAAAGGTGATGTGGACTAGCTATCCTAAGTCATCTGGAAGCAGATGTTTTGATTTCATTCTACTTGTGTTACCCAGTAGGTGAAGCATTCAGGAAGCCTGCTGTTTGGTAGGGGTGGAGAGGGGAACCCTAAGTGCAGGCTTGGCCCCCTTTTGCAAGAATGATGTCACTTGTTTTCCTTCTGTCCCCAGCATTACCCATATCGGTACCACTAGATGTGTTATTTTAAGATAAAATGGAGTTTTATAAGCAGTCCCTGAGGACCAAAGCACATCTCAGAAATATCACCAGGGTTTAGGGCTACTGATAAAGTGGTGCTTCCTCCCTTGCCCCACAGGCTACTTGTACCTGGCCATTGAGTATGCCCCCCATGGCAACCTCCTGGACTTCCTGCGAAAGAGCCGAGTGCTAGAGACGGACCCTGCGTTTGCCATTGCCAACAGCACCGCCTCCACACTCTCCTCCCAGCAGCTTCTCCACTTCGCAGCAGATGTGGCCCGGGGTATGGACTACCTGAGCCAAAAACAGGTTTGTTCTGGAAACCTTGCTTTGAGCATCTTTCTTCCAAAATTCTCTCTGATATCAGAGTTTAGATTTTTTTTTTTTCCCCATTTCACCTCTCTTCCTTAATTCCTTCTCAAACTCTCCCTAATTTTATTGTTTGTTAATATTCTCTCTCTTTATATAGAAGTTCATGCTCCGTGCTAACGGTATGTTTATCTAGTGAATCTCATCATATGTATTTGGTGAGGTGCCTTCACTCGTCTTAGCTTCACGTAACTCCACATAACACACATAGGAGAGACCTTTCATGCTAATTGGAATATTGCATAACCTGGTGCTTCTTCCTGAAATGCTCCTCCAAAGACCTGTGGGTCGTTCAGCAGAATCCACTCACTGAGCATTTAGAAGAGGAACTAGAAGGGAACTGGATTCTGGTAGCTTTTTAAAAACACTTTTTCATACTATCTTCTAGATTTCCCAAAGCTCCTGCTCTTTGTGCAAACAAAATGAAGTGAAAAACCAAATATGATGCTGAAAATACATGACTTGTTTGTTTTTTTTTTTTTTAAATTTCAGTTTATTCACAGGGACCTAGCTGCCAGGAACATTTTAGTTGGTGAAAACTATGTAGCCAAGATAGCCGATTTTGGATTATCCCGAGGTCAAGAAGTGTATGTGAAAAAGACGATGGTAAGTTCAGATGTTGATGAGACCCTCTCGGGGGCACCCCTCCCTCTCCCGAGGTTGCTTCTCCTAGAATTCCATCCTTCTGTGCTGACGGAGGCCTCTGACCACTTCTGCCATTCCATAAGTCCTCAGCCCAGCAAACGTCCTTCCTCAGTTTTGATTCCTAAAATGTCTGGTGTGGTTTAGTTGCTAAGTCATGTCCGACTCTTTGTGACCCCAGGGACTGTAGCCTGCCAGGCTCCTCCTCACATAACTGTGCCATGGGATTCTCCAGGCACAAATACTGGAGTGGGTTGCCATTTCCTTCTCCAGGGGATCTTCCCAACCCAGGAATCGAACCCGGGTCTCCTGCATTGCAGGTAGATTCTTTACCTACTGAACTATGAGGGAAGCCCCTAAAATGTCTGGAGTGAAGAAGGCTCTGTAACATACGGTGAAGTCGTTGAACATGCAAGCCTCGTGCTAGAAGGGCTGGGGTCCATATCCAGCACAGACCCCCAACTCGGGTCTCACTCAGAGTCTTCTGGGGAGCCCCCACAGTCCCCTTTTACACAGCAAACACAGGAGGGGGGGAAAGACATTTAACCTACTTTCTAAAACATTAAGGAAGTGAATCAACGAGATTTCCTAAGTCACAAGGATGCTCTAGAAAGCTCATAAGTTGTAAATGCTTGTATGAGAGTTCCCTCTTTTCTGAATGTTCTCTGCTCATTTGTCAGTTCAGTCTCTCAGTCGTGTCCGACTCTTTGCAACCCCATGGATGGCAGCACACTAGGCCTCTCTGTCCATCACCAACTCCCAGAGTTTACTCAAACTCATGTCTATAGAGTCGGTGATGCCATCCAACCATCTCATCCTCTGTCATCCCCTTCTCCTCCTGCCCTCAATCTTTCCCAGCACCAGGGTCTTTTCAAATGAGTCAGCTCTTCACAGCAAATGGCCAAAGTGTTGGAGTTTCAGCTTCAGCATCTTTCCTTCCAATGAATATTCAGGACTGATTCCTTTAGGATGGACTGGTTGGATCTCCTTGCAGTCCAAGGGACTCTCAAGAGTCTTCTCCAACACCACAGTTCAAAAGCATCAATTCTTCAGTGCTGAGCTTTCTTTATAGTCCAACTCTCACATGCATACATGACTACTGGAAAAACCATAGCTTGCTCATTCGTCAAGCCCCCATCAAGTCCACTTTCACCTAATGATACCTAGCCTCCCAAGTAGCCAAATTTTACCTTCAAATAAAAGATCCCTGGGGAGCCTCACAGTGTTAGCAGAGAGAAGCTGGACTTGTTCTGCTCTTGTTGTCCACCTGGAATCATAAAGCCCTGGAAATGCCACATCCCTGGACATTAGTGCTGGGCTTTCAACATGCCACCACCCTCTGCTTTCCCTACAGTTGGGCAGTGCAGGGTGCTGGGGCTGACGCACGCAATAGTCTTTGCATGTGTTGGGTAGGTCTCTCTGATGGCACGGCTCTCGCAGCATTACTTGGGCTCAGCTTTCTTGGGATGACTCCAGTTCTTGTAACATATAGAGAGAGTCCTTTTACTTTTATAGATATCAAATTGCTTCCTAGCAAGGCTCAGGCTTCTGCATTGATCCTCAAGCTCAGGTTTCCTTTCTTTTCAATATACTTATTTCAATTACTGACAAGATAACACAGAAACAATATTCAAGAATGCTTTCAAGAGGAAATGATCCACAGCTCACAACATTGACACAATTTATTTTATTTTTACTCTTTTCCTTCCACAAGCATACAGTCTTTCCCATAGTTATGATCACAGTGAACTTAATCACTTTGGAGCTCTCCACTCACTCTTTTGATGAGGGTTAGAAGTGGGCCTCCTTTGGTTCTTAGAGACTACCATGCTCCTGGTCCTTGATACTTTTTGGCATCAGCACCTCAGGAAGTCTCCAGTGACTCCCTGAAGGTTGGTTGCCAGATAACACTTTTTCCCCTTAACTTTTCAGATTCGCCCCACTCAAAGCAGACCTTTCTCTGGGAAGTGGCTGGGCTGGTCTTACAGAAGCAGGACCCACCACTCACCCATCTGCTCCAGCTCTCCCCAATCCTTCTGGGCCACATGGAACCCTCTTATTTCCACCACAGAATCTCTCTCCTTGCTTCACTCTGGCACTTTGGGGATGGGATGCCGTGATGAGGGGATGCCACATGCGTGCTAAGTTGCTATACTTGTGTCTACGTCTTTGTAACCCTATGGATTGTGGCCTGCCAGGCTCCTCTGTCCATGGGGTTTTCCAGGCAAGAGTACTGGACTGAGCTGCCATTTCCTACTCCAGAAATATCCAGGGGATATTCCTAACCCAGGGATTGAACCCGTGTCTCTTATGGCTCCTGTGTTGGCAGGTGGGTTCGTTACTATTAGTTCCACCTGGGAAGCCCTGTGAGGATGAGGAGAAGAGGTTAACACAGTTTGGCCCCATAATCTACCCATTTAATTTGGTTACTTGCCTCAGTACTCCATGGCGAACGTTGGTTTGCTTGACATTATATAAAGGACAGGGATTTCTGTATCTTATGGAGTTAGGGGAAATGCATAGAGGGGCGGAGCACTGGTTAGGGTTCTAGTGTATCTCCCCGAGGAAGGGCAAAGCGTTCAGTAGCAGCATGGTGTCTGGGGAGGGAAAGAACACGGTGAAGGTAGGGGAAGAAAAGAGAAGGGATTGGAGAGAAGCAAGCTCCCAGCAAGAAGGGTGCAATGTAGCAAGTTACCAACAGAGGGCAGAACGGCTACTTTCTCTGGCCTATTATGGAAGTCAGAGATTGTCAATTCCTACTGCATCTAGATTGTCTGGGAAACTTTAAAAAGACAGATGCTAAGTCCTACCACTTAGATATTTTGATTCAGTTATTGTGGAGAGGGTATCCTGCATTAATTTTTTACTTCCAGGGAGATTCCAGTACTGGAAGTGTTGCAAAATAATGTACTTAAGTGATTTGGGGTTTTACTACCATTGATTAATCTATTGATTCCCTCAGCATGGATTTATTTATTACTACAATGTTTCACTCTTGTGCTGGGCTTGGGGATAATATTAAGACACGGTGTTCTCCCTCAAAGAGCTCAGAGACACATAACAAACAGTTGTAACCATGGATAAGCCTGAGAAGGAGGAAAGTGCAGGTCCCTCGGGAGCCCGGGGGGAGCACAGTGAAGCTTTCCAGTAAATGTGACATAGATACTGGAGATTCGAGAGTGAAATGGAGGACCTGGAGGATGCAGTATATATGTAAGAACCAAGAGGCAGAAGAAAGCATGAGACTTTTGGGAATTAAGAAAGTCAATATGAAAAAAAAAAAGTCAATATGGCTAGAGGATGATGCAAAAAAGAGTTTTGGATGCCGGATTTTGGGGACTCAGCTAAGGACTGGGGATGTTGTAACAAGAGCGATATCACAGAATTTTTAGGACAGGAACCACATGTTTGGATTTGCCATTTAAAGTGACTGGTGCAGAGAACAGGTCATTAGGAAGCGGAACCAGAGGCGGGGAGATGCTTAGAGAGGCGGCTGTCAGCAGACAGCTGGAGATGGTGGTGGCCTGAACCAAGGAGCGGAACCAGAGGCGGGGAGATGAGCAGAGAGGCGGCTGTCAGCAGACAGCTGGAGATGGTGGTGGCCTGAACCAAGGAGCGGAACCAGAGGCGGGGAGATGAGCAGAGAGGCGGCTGTCAGCAGACAGCTGGAGATGGTGGTGGCCTGAACCAAGGAGCGGAACCAGAGGCGGGGAGATGCGCAGAGAGGCGGCTGTCAGCAGGGAGCTGGAGATGGTGGTGGCCTGAACCAAGGAGCGGAACCAGAGGCGGGGAGATGTGCAGAGAGGCGGCTGTCAGCAGGCAGCTGGAGATGGTGGTGGCCTGAACCAAGGAGCGGAACCAGAGGCGGAGAGATGAGCAGGGAGGCGGCTGTCAGCAGGCAGGTGGAGATGGTGGTGGCCTGAACCAAGGAGCGGAACCAGAGGCGGGGAGATGTGCAGAGAGGCGGCTGTCAGCAGGCAGCTGGAGATGGTGGTGGCCTGAACCAAGGAGCGGAACCAGAGGCGGGGAGATGCGCAGAGAGGCGGCTGTCAGCAGACAGCTGGAGATGGTGGTGGCCTGAACCAAGGAGCGGAACCAGAGGCGGGGAGATGAGCAGAGAGGCGGCTGTCAGCAGGGAGCTGGAGATGGTGGTGGCCTGAACCAAGGAGCGGAACCAGAGGCGGGGAGATGCGCAGAGAGGCGGCTGGAGCGGAACCAGAGGCGGGGAGATGCGCAGAGAGGCGGCTGTCAGCAGGCAGCTGGAGATGGTGGTGGCCTGAACCAAGGAGCGGAACCAGAGGCGGGGAGATGCGCAGAGAGGCGGCTGTCAGCAGGCAGCTGGAGATGGTGGTGGCCTGAACCAAGGAGCGGAACCAGAGGCGGGGAGATGAGCAGAGAGGCGGCTGTCAGCAGGCAGCTGGAGATGGTGGTGGCCTGAACCAAGGAGCGGAACCAGAGGCGGGGAGATGAGCAGGGAGGCGGCTGTCAGCAGGCAGCTGGAGATGGTGGTGGCCTGATCCAAGGAGCGGAACCAGAGGCGGGGAGATGAGCAGGGAGGCGGCTGTCAGCAGGCAGCTGGAGATGGTGGTGGCCTGAACCAAGGAGCGGAACCAGAGGCGGGGAGATGAGCAGAGAGGCGGCTGTCAGCAGGCAGCTGGAGATGGTGGTGGCCTGAACCAAGGAGCGGAACCAGAGGCGGGGAGATGAGCAGGGAGGCGGCTGTCAGCAGGCAGCTGGAGATGGTGGTGGCCTGAACCAAGGAGCGGAACCAGAGGCGGGGAGATGCGCAGGGAGGCGGCTGTCAGCAGGGAGCTGGAGATGGTGGTGGCCTGAACCAAGGAGCGGAACCAGAGGCGGGGAGATGCGCAGGGAGGCGGCTGTCAGCAGGGAGCTGGAGATGGTGGTGGCCTGAACCAAGGAGCGGAACCAGAGGCGGGGAGATGCGCAGGGAGGCGGCTGTCAGCGGGCAGCTGGAGATGGTGGTGGCCTGAACCAAGGAGCGGAACCAGAGGCGGGGAGATGAGCAGGGAGGCAGCTGTCAGCGGGCAGGTGGAGATGGTGGTGGCCTGAACCAAGGAGCGGAACCAGAGGCGGGGAGATGCGCAGGAAGGCGGCTGTCAGCAGGCAGCTGGAGATGGTGGTGGCCTGAACCAAGGAGCGGAACCAGAGGCGGGGAGATGCGCAGGGAGGCGGCTGTCAGCAGGGAGCTGGAGATGGTGGTGGCCTGAACCAAGGAGCGGAACCAGAGGCGGGGAGATGTGCAGAGAGGCGGCTGTCAGCAGGCAGCTGGAGATGGTGGTGGCCTGAACCAAGGAGCGGAACCAGAGGCGGGGAGATGCGCAGAGAGGCGGCTGTCAGCAGGGAGCTGGAGATGGTGGTGGCCTGAACCAAGGAGCGGAACCAGAGGCGGAGAGATGAGCAGGGAGGCGGCTGTCAGCAGGCAGGTGGAGATGGTGGTGGCCTGAACCAAGGAGCGGAACCAGAGGCGGGGAGATGCGCAGAGAGGCGGCTGTCAGCAGGGAGCTGGAGATGGTGGTGGCCTGAACCAAGGAGCGGAACCAGAGGCGGGGAGATGAGCAGAGAGGCGGCTGTCAGCAGGCAGCTGGAGATGGTGGTGGCCTGAACCAAGGAGCGGAACCAGAGGCGGGGAGATGAGCAGGGAGGCGGCTGTCAGCAGGCAGCTGGAGATGGTGGTGGCCTGATCCAAGGAGCGGAACCAGAGGTGGGGAGATGAGCAGGGAGGCGGCTGTCAGCAGGGAGCTGGAGATGGTGGTGGCCTGAACCAAGGAGCGGAACCAGAGGCGGAGAGATGAGCAGGGAGGCGGCTGTCAGCAGGCAGGTGGAGATGGTGGTGGCCTGAACCAAGGAGCGGAACCAGAGGCGGGGAGATGCGCAGAGAGGCGGCTGTCAGCAGGGAGCTGGAGATGGTGGTGGCCTGAACCAAGGAGCGGAACCAGAGGCGGAGAGATGCGCAGAGAGGCGGCTGTCAGCAGGCAGCTGGAGATGGTGGTGGCCTGAACCAAGGAGCGGAACCAGAGGCGGGGAGATGCGCAGAGAGGCGGCTGTCAGCAGGCAGGTGGAGATGGTGGTGGCCTGAACCAAGGAGCGGAACCAGAGGCGGGGAGATGCGCAGAGAGGCGGCTGTCAGCAGGGAGCTGGAGATGGTGGTGGCCTGAACCAAGGAGCGGAACCAGAGGCGGGGAGATGCGCAGAGAGGCGGCTGGAGCGGAACCAGAGGCGGGGAGATGCGCAGAGAGGCGGCTGTCAGCAGGCAGCTGGAGATGGTGGTGGCCTGAACCAAGGAGCGGAACCAGAGGCGGGGAGATGCGCAGAGAGGCGGCTGTCAGCAGGCAGCTGGAGATGGTGGTGGCCTGAACCAAGGAGCGGAACCAGAGGCGGGGAGATGAGCAGGGAGGCGGCTGTCAGCAGGCAGCTGGAGATGGTGGTGGCCTGAACCAAGGAGCGGAACCAGAGGCGGGGAGATGCGCAGAGAGGCGGCTGTCAGCAGGCAGCTGGAGATGGTGGTGGCCTGAACCAAGGAGCGGAACCAGAGGCGGGGAGATGCGCAGAGAGGCGGCTGTCAGCAGGCAGCTGGAGATGGTGGTGGCCTGAACCAAGGAGCGGAACCAGAGGCGGGGAGATGCGCAGGGAGGCGGCTGTCAGCGGGCAGGTGGAGATGGTGGTGGCCTGAACCAAGGAGCGGAACCAGAGGCGGGGAGATGCGCAGGGAGGCGGCTGTCAGCGGGCAGGTGGAGATGGTGGTGGCCTGAACCAAGGAGCGGAACCAGAGGCGGGGAGATGCGCAGGGAGGCGGCTGTCAGCGGGCAGGTGGAGATGGTGGTGGCCTGAACCAAGGAGCGGAACCAGAGGCGGGGAGATGCGCAGGGAGGCGGCTGTCAGCGGGCAGGTGGAGATGGTGGTGGCCTGAACCAAGGACAGCAGCAGGGACAGACAGATGTGGACCGATCAGAGCAGGTCACATAAAGAATGGAAACGTGTGCATGGAAATGAATAATTAGGAAATACGGGGTCAGAGGTCAGCAAGGGGGAGTAAATAAGAGCAAGGACCAAACAGGAAATGCAGGCAACTCTTCCCAGCCCCTAGTGTGGAGGAGAAGAGAGAGTAACAGGTGGGAGACGGAGGCGAGGATAGAAGGGAGCAGATGCTGAAGAGAACACAGCATGTAGATGTGAGGGACTTCCCTGGTCTGCACTGGTAGAGGTCATCACCTCCTTGCTGACGCACATGCACTCTCTGCCCTTTGGTCTGAAATGCTCTTTCCTCCCCCACCCACCTGTTGGTACCTACACATCTTCTAGAACTGAACTCGTGTGTCCCCTCCTCTGGAAACCCTTCCGGCCTCTCCTCCAGGCATTTGGTCTCCTCCCACCACCTCAGCCTTTCCCACGTTATAGCCTACTCCTCAGTTCCTATGCCTGTCTCTCTTTTCAAACCTCTGAGCACCTCTGACAGCCACAAATTGAATAACTGCATGACCACTGAAAGGATACACACATACACACACATCATTATTTTTCATTATGTGAAACTGTGGTAGTGACCCCTTGAGGTAAATGGGGCTTACATAATTCACAGGGCTTTGAACTTAAAAGCAGACTTGTGGGTGGCACATGCAAAAATATCCCCTGACTCTGCCATGCCTTCTGTCTGGGGACCTCCCTGAGAACTGGGGTGAGCCCCCCTAGCTTCAGGTCACCGGCGAGGCTTGGGAAGGGGCCCCTGTTGAGCCTAAGCAGCCTCTTAACATTGTATTCTCCAGGGAAGACTCCCCGTGCGCTGGATGGCGATCGAGTCACTAAATTACAGTGTGTATACGACCAACAGTGACGTGTGAGTAAGCCTCTCACTGCTGAGGGATTTTTTTTTTTTTTGACCCAGAAAAATATCCACTTGACAAAGGTTTTGAAGAGGAGCAGGAATGTTGCATCCCTCTGCAGAATAAAACTAATCACTAACTAAGCCCAGGAAATAAATTAACAGACTAAACAAAGCCACAGAGGAAATGGTTTCCCCTGATGGCAGGCTTTGGGTTTATTTCTGCACGTGGGGGAGTGACTTCAAGTGGTGAATTCTTAATTTCCAGAGGAGTCAGGGGCATCCTGGCCTCCCTGTGACTCCACTGATCAGACTGACCTCGGCACAAGGACCGAGATCTGAGGAGGTGGCCCAGAGTAGCTGCTGGGGGTCGGAGGTGGCAGGGACAGAAGGCAGGCACACATGCTAAGTACTTCATTCGTGTCCGCCTCTGTGCAACCCGATGGACTGTAGCCCACCAGGTTGCTCTGTCTATGGGCTTCTCCAGGCAAGAGTGCTGGAGTGGGTTGCCATGCCCTGCTCCAGGGGATCTTCCCGACCCAGGGATCAAACTCACAACTTTTATGTCTCCTGCACTGGCAGGCAGGTTCTTTACCACTAGTGCCACCTGGGAAGCCCCACAGAAGGCAGGCAGTGGGGCCCATCTCCACTTGCAGCCTGCGTGACAAGTCTCAGGTGGAGGCAGGGGTGGAGGGTTTGGGATTGAAACCTGAGTCCTCTTACCCACATTCCCTATTTTCAGGAGTAAGAACAGGCCCAGAGGGTTGAGTTGACTTATTCGGGGGGTGGGAGGAGAGTTGCTATGCCTGGGGATGGGGAGAGATTGGGCGATGACTGTGTTCTCACTGTCTGCCTTTATGTTATCTCATGTCATCTCTGCATAACTTTGAGGCAGAAATGGGTGTCCTCACTTTTGGAAGAATACAGTCAGAGGTCTCAGGAGTTCTAGTCACTTGTCCCATGTCACATGAGTACCCTGTGGCAGAGATGAGATCTGATGCAAATCTGTCTGGCCTAGAACCCCCTGCAATTTCTACCTAAAGCAAGTGGGGGCTCTGCCTGTGTTAACAGTGTTCCCCTGTTACAAACCTGCCATTGGCTGAAGGGGAGATAAACGCATGCTGCGTGCAAGACCCAATCCTAGGAAAAAGACATGGAACTTTCCCCCCTCTGACCTCAAGTCAGTGGCCCCAGCTTTGGGGGCAGAAAGTTGACTGGCCAACGTGTGTGCCAATTACTGTCTTCTCTTTCATCCCTTCTGCAGGTGGTCCTATGGCGTGTTACTATGGGAGATTGTTAGCTTAGGTGAGTATCCCTGTCCACCCACCAGGGGAAGCTCTGCGCAAAGGGAGCGGGCCCCTCCCGTGCTCCTTCACCATCTACTTTCATGGGTAACATACGCATTTGGTGCCAACAGATGCCACTTGGGAAAAGAACCTTACAGGTTTCCTGCCTGAGTGTGTTTATCCCCGTGGCTCTCCTTATGAAAGCCCAGTGTCTAATGTCACATTTAACACTGATGACCTGGTGGCCGAGAACTTCATTCTAAGTTGTCTCCACGTGTGCACAGATGTCATAAAGCTGGTATAAGTTTTCTTCTGCAACTTTAAGAGTATACTGTGCTGCTATGAAAAGTCACATTTTCTTTTTTTTTTTTGAAAAGTCACATTTTCAAAGGCCATTTATTTTTAAATTTTTATTAAAGTATAGTTGATTTAAAGTTAGTTATAGCTAATTTCTGCTGAACAGAGGTGACTCAGTTTTACATATGTGTGTATGTAATTTTCCATGTTTGTTTCCATTATGGTTTGTCACAAGATATTAAATATAGTTCCCAGTGCTATACTGTAGTGCTATACATCAGAACCTTGTTTATCCACCCTATATGTAATAGTTTGTTTCTGCTAATTCTGAATTTCCATTTCTTCTCTCCCCTACCACTTTTCCCCCCTGGCAATCACAAGTATGCTCTCTATGAGTCTGCTACTGTTTTGTAGATAAGTTCACTTGTCATATTTTAGATTGCACGTAAGTAATGTGGCAATTGTCTTTCTCTTTTTTTACTTACTTCACTTAGTATGATAATCTCTAAGTCCATCCATAGTGTCACAAATGGCATTATCTCATTCTTTTTGATGGCTGAGTAATATTCCTGTGTGTATGTGTGTATACCACATCTTCTTTTACCCATTCATGGACATTTAGATTGTTTCTATGACTTGGCTATTGTAAATAGTGCTGCTAGGAACAAAGAGATGCATGTATCTTTTTGAATTATACTTTTGCCTGGATATATGTCAAAAGCCATTTAATACTAGGTGAAAATGTACATGCCAAAAAGCATAAAAATTTCACATATACCATAATTCCAGTTTTATCACACATGAAAAAAAAACTGGAAAGACTACACAGGATTTTTTCAAAGTAGTTTTTTCATTATTTTTGTACTTTCCACAATACACATCTATTGCTTTTATAGTTAACATTGGGACAGTAACTATGCTAGATAAAATAGGAATTGCATTTTGTAAATACAGATTTCCAACTGGGAAAAAGATCCATGTCATTGGAACACTGGTGCTGTGTCAGACATGGTGTGTAGCCGGACTTGGGGACAAGCAAGGCGCCGTGGTGAAGCGGCAGCCGCACGGGAGCGCAGTCTGGAGCCAAGTCCAGCTGTGACGCGCGGGGGGTGTGCCCCAGAGGACTACGACTCTGCGTGCTTATCGTCACTTGACTCACGCCCCTCTTTCTCCCAGTCGCTCAGCTGTAGAGCCCCAGGGCCGGAGACGGCGCCTTCTGTGTCCAAGGGGCTCAGGGCGCACCATTTCCTGTCTTCCAGGCGGCACCCCTTACTGTGGGATGACGTGTGCGGAGCTCTACGAGAAGCTGCCCCAGGGCTACAGACTGGAGAAGCCGCTAAACTGTGACGACGAGGTGTAAGTCGGGCCTCCCCCAGGGCCATCCTACCCTCACCTCCCCTCTGTATGTTTCCTGAACTGACTGTGATGAGCAGCTGTCTGATACATACAGATATGTATGTATGTGCACACACACAAATCCCAACCAGTCAGAAACAAGAGTCCGTGTGATGTGTCTAGGGGAGCATTTCCCTCAGGAAACTCCAAGAAGATTTTTGAGTTCAAAATTTCAGAACCTTGACACTAAGACTGTTAGGCAATGGGTAGGAAATAATGAGTTTTCCAGGCATAGAAATTCAGGAGGAATTTAAGGTGGTGATTCTCGGCCGAATCTTCAGGTTGAAATGAGAAAGGACAACAAATACAGAAAAGATCTGTATGAATAATTTATGAATTAAATTAATTATAATTTATGAATACATGCATTCATAAATTCATGAAATTATCCATGAATAAGTGTATGAAACCTTGAGACTAACTTTGAGGGTAGAGATTTCAGAGCAGTTACACTAAAGAAGATAAGCTTTTCTTTATAAAATCTTGCTTCCACAAGGCTTATTTTCCAGGAACAAATATTCTTATTCCTGGAAAGAATGATTCTCTAGTGATGTTGCCATTCCCAGAACCAGCTGATGTCGTTGTTGCCTAAATGACATAATATGAACAGTGCAAGGCTCTAGGCTGAACAAGGAATTTATTGCCCAAACCGAGCTACTTCTAAGAGTGGATGAGGGTGCTATTATGCTCTGGTACAAGAAATATAAACCTAGACCATCCTGGGAAAACCTGAATGTACTCGAGTCATCACTGGACCAAGTCCCTGAATCCCACCTTTCAGGAGTGATATTTTTCACTCATGAAACTCTTCCAAAATCTCTACCACCCCAGGCTGATGGCTGAGAGTCTTCCGTGCACTGTGGTTCCCAGTGAGGAACCACCCTGTTAAGCATGTGAAATCTTGAGCCCCGCTCTCAGACACAATGACTGTAAATCTGGAGTGTGTCCCAGGAATCCACGTTTTAACAATACAGGTAGTTCTGGTCACACTGGAGAAAGACCTTAGACTAGCACTTCGTAAACTGTGTTTGTGGAATGTGTGAGACGTAAATAAATAACAGAAGGGGAAAGAGTTCTGTGATCAGTTATGTTTGGGAAGCTTCTATGTTAAACCTGGTTTAAAAGGGTGTTGGTTTTTAATGGAATGACTTCAAGATTTCACGAAGTCAGTCACTAAGAGGGAGGCACGATAGGTAGCATTTTGCAAATTTATTTGCACACAGAGCCAGTTTTTAGAACTGAAACACTGACATTTTGAGAGATGTAATATTCTGAGGGAAAGCCTACCCTAGACACACAACTCAGTTCTTTCCAGATGATCAGGATAGCTGAGACCAAGATCTCTTGGGAATGGTACCCAAAGTAGGCACTAGATCCCCTTAAGAAAGGAGGCTTGGGTGGGGAGGCGGGAGGCCTCCTAGAACCTTCCTAGCTGTAGTACTTCTGTCTTCCACTGGCTAAGCGAGGTGACCATGCATTGTGTGGCTACATTCTCTTTTATCCCAAACCCTGCACCTGGCTGTGCCCAGGACTAAAGCACAGTTGGAGACTAAACCTTCTGTTTTCAAAGGTATGATCTCATGAGACAGTGCTGGCGGGAGAAGCCTTATGAAAGGCCCTCATTCGCCCAGATCCTGGTGTCCTTAAACAGGATGTTAGAAGAACGAAAGGTGAGTATGGAACTCAAAGCATGGGTTCTTTCATTGGAATTCCTCACGTGTCCCTTGTGGTTAACAGTTGATACAGGTCAGCAGGTTCTTTTGAACCAACCTGAGGTGCTAAGTGATGAGGTGCTACAGGGACATACAAGATGTAGACTCAACTTTGAGAAAGTTACAATTTTGGAGGAAACCAGATTCCTATATAAGATATAGTCAGATACTGTAGAACAATGTACAGAACTGGCTTATCTGAGCTAGAGGGAATCTTAAATCTGTCACACAGCCTGGCCCTTTCATTCTAGAGATGAAGGAGCATACTTAGGAGAAAGTGACTTGCCCAAGGACAAACGGGAGAGTGACAAGAATGTGGTCTTCAGGTTACTAAGGGGCGGGTCAGGAATTCTGTAAAAACTTGTAGTAGATAGTTAATTAGCTACATAGATCTGAGGTTCAAAAGGCAAGTCTAGGTTAGGAAATTTGGAAGTCATCAAAACCCAGTTGGTAATGAAACCAGAGATGTGAAGATGAGCAGCAGACAGGGGGAGGGGTCGGGGAGGGTGTGGTGCATGTCAGAAGGGACCCGTGAAAAGGCCATGGGCTAGAGAAGCCAGGGGGCTGAAAAAACAATCTTACTTGCAGAAGTCAAGGGATGCCTTTCAGGAAGAAAGTGGTTAAATACAACAGAGGGAATGAGGATAGAGAGATATCCCCCCCAGTATCGGTATCTGGGGGCTTTTGGAGGGGGCATGGCAGCCCGCTCCAGTATTCTTGCCTGGACAATCCCATGGACAGAGGAGCCTGATGGGCTGCAGTCCATAGGGCTGCACAGAGTTGGACCCAATTGAAGTGACTTAGCAGCAGCAGCAGGTGGTGCTAAAGAATCCACCTGCCAATAATACAGGAGGTGCAGGTTCAGTCCCTGGGTGGGGATTCCATCCCTGGGTGAGGAAAACCCCCCTAAAATAGGAAATGGCAACCCACTCCGGTATTCTTGCCTGGAAAATCTCATGGTCAGAGGAGCCTGGTGGGCTACGGTCCATGGCGTCAGAGAGAGTCAGACATGACTGAGTGCACAGCACCTGTATTTGAGCTGAGAAAAGCTAAGGAAACGGGTATGACCGTAACTGCCCCCAGTGGAGGCAGGACTGAGCCAGCTTGTGTCTCTGAACCACTCTTGTTCTCCTAGACCTATGTGAACACCACACTTTATGAGAAGTTCACCTACGCAGGAATTGACTGTTCTGCAGAAGAAGCAGCCTAGGACCGACCACTTTGATCTGTATATTCTGTTTCCCCTTCACCGGTGTGAGAGACCCTTCATACCCTGATGCTCAGCAAGCAAGCCTCTACCAAGAGAGGTGACAGAAAATGGACATGTATATAGATTGTCGCTTGCCTGGGACTTTGACCGTAAGACCCATGTGTGAATCTGTAGCACCCTCTGACTAGGACTGTACATACTATTTTGAGTAAGAATGTGCTGGAATCAGAATGCCTGTTTGTGGTTTCATATGCAATAATATATTTTTCTAAAAACATGGACTTTATGGGAAGGTGTGAGAGTACAATTACTGCAGTGTATAACTCATTATTGTCCTAGGTATTTTTTTATATTTACCTATATATTGGATGCTCTAAGATGTTTCACTGTTACCATTAGTAAACCTGTCGGCACAGGTGAGAAAAAGTAGGGGAAAGGTATGAGTTCTAACAGGACATGGATTTAGGTCTCTTAAATGTTAACCTAAGTGATGTAAAAGAGCTTTTTCTATCTCTGAATATTCCCCCTTATCTGTAGAAGCCATCCTGATTCCCTTGTTAATTCGACAACATTTTCATGTGTTTCCAGAACCAACCAGTCAGTCCTAAACGTAGACACTGAAATACCAACTGAAATCTCATTCCTTAGAAGCCTAAGAACTTTAGGAAGTGTAAGTCTGATAAGCTAATAGGTTTCAGTTTCTCAGATGACATTGATGTGTTTGTTAAGAAATTAAAACAGGAAGCTTGTAGTTATATTTGGGAGACATGTGACATGTATCATAGCAGATTAACATCCCTACCTGTCTTGCACATTGTAAAAAGTTCTAGTTTTGATCAGTTGTGAGTTTACCATTTATATTGTAGGCACATGCTATACTGAGATCATATAGTAAGTGAATAAATGTCTTGCCTACCCACTTTTTGTCTAGGAATGTGTCTCATGAGTATTACCAACCGTCTCTATTATACTTTCAAGAAAACAGTTTAAATTATCATCCTCTAATGTATTGGCAATATGCAGACAGCAGTTGCTGAGTATATTCAACCAGATGTATCACAAGATTAGAAACATCTCCCAGAAATATTCTGTTTTCCTGTACCTGTGGTTCCAGTATGAACTGATGGCTTAAAATTGGAATCTCTTAACTGTGTTGCAGTGTTGTACACACTGCGTAATGTTCCATATTCCTGCCATCTGCTCAACTTCATGCATCAGAAAGTGACCAGGAAACTGCCTTTTCCAAAAGCTCTTCATCCACAGCAGGATAGGCAGAGGAGACACAGCAAAAGTAACCCTGCTGCCGCACCATTTATTCTTCAGTGGAGCAGGGGCTGGAATGAAGAGCCACTGAAAGTAGGTCCAAATATGTATATAACAGTTCCTTTTTGCTTTTTACCCAAATGTTGTGAAGATGCTCCTGACAACTCTTGGTTTGCATGTACATGGAACTGAACAAGAACGGGGATGAATGTATCTCTGGAAAATGTAGATAATGTCTTCAAATTTTGCGTGTGGCTTCGGAATACACAATAACAGCTACCTTCTCTATAACAGCTTCACCTTCTTGATGATATATATTTAAAATAAATTTACATCATTATGAATTTACTTCACATCAAGTAAAAGGGATGACTACGAAAGGATGGCATCAAGAAAAAGGAATTCACTGATACTAAGATTTACTTGTAAATTCAAATACTGAAGCAGCAAGACTCAGGTGTGCTAAGGACTGACACATCATCACAATCAACTGTCAGAAGGCCACAAATTCACTTCTGGCACAGCGGCCATCCAGCCGACATCTCTGTGACTCATCCATGCTGTTGACAAAGAAACCTTTGTAGCTCTGTAGCATGTTAATGGAATTAATACTAAAGATTCATACTTACTCAAAGGTCAGCCATCTGAATGAATTTGTGTTGTTTCCATGGGCCAGTTTGCATAGTATCAAAAAGCAATGACGGGAAGAACCAACCCCTTTAAGGAACTAGATGATTCCAGTATTGGGAATATAGATTAGACCTCAGTGTACCAGAAGATCCACAGGAAACTGCCTTAAAAAAAAAAAAGATCAATGAGTGGTTGACAGGAATCAAAATCAAGGAAGAGTCCACCAGTTAGAATGAAAACACCTCACACAACAGCCCAATGACTGCACTGTATCAATGTTAACAGCATGCTGAAAGTTTACATTCACATCCATATATTCTGTGAGCACAATCTCTACATCTATTTCTATATAGGCGATCTAAAGAAAACTGTCACGATTTTGTTAGGAAAACATGTTTCTGACTCCGAGCAGTATAATGGTTCCAGGTATTTAAAGAGGAAAAGAAATTTAAGTAATCTGAGAAATGAACTTTGTGAAAGTCCTGGACTCATTACTTCAACTTTAAAGCATCTTCCATGGTCATTTGCACACAGCCTATGAAGATATGTCAAATTCCAAACAACCTAATTCCTTCCCCACCCGTCCCCAGACACAACTTTAGAAACTGCTGTGGAAATCCGACCTTTAAAATGTAGTACATAAACCTCGACAGGGCTTTCCTTTCTCCTCTCCTCTGAAAGTGTGGAGAAACCTCATGATACTATAGATCAGACTCTACTGCCAGCAGTGGAGGGCAAGGAGTCACGAAAACAATGTAGAGGTTTAAGATATTCTTGGGCCAGGTGGTTACTTTTTTACTTTCAGGTCATCTTTTACCTTCCAGAGGACCAGTTCCATGCAGGCGGTTGCATTTTCACTGGAACTGTGACCTCCAAATAGAACAGGATAAAAAATAAAACGTTAGACAATAGACAACTCCCTCTGAGGTTGCTCACAGATGGCCTCAAAACGGTCTTGAGTTTATAACACAATCAACACTGGCCGCTTATCAATAGATCACTATTTCACACCTAGAACCACCACTGGTTGCTTTAGAAATGTTTTACATAGATCTAGATGAACAAACATCTCCCTTTTCCTGTATACCCTGTCCTCAGTCACATGGTCACTACGTTCCTATGATGGGACAGCACACCAGTACCTTCTCCATGAACCTCTTTTCCAGGGATATGCAACAAGAAAGTGACAGACACTAGTGAATGGCAGATCTGACAAGAAGCCAGAAATAGAGATGTTAGAAAAAAATATACCTCTCTAGACAAAGAGTGACCTTAGATATGAGATAACATGGGTTTAAAAAGTAGATGAAATCTACCCAAAATACCAAGCCTACAGTTCCTTTGAAAATAAGTGATGTCTGAGATTGAGAAAAATCATATGGGCTACACTAGTAAAATGGTGTATTATTTTTTGTTTCCTTGCATTATTCTGAGAGAACTGTGGTGTTCTTTAACTTTGCTTTATACAGGGCAATTTTTGTTGCTAAGATGAAATATTTTTGTGTCCATGGTCCCAGGTTGTTTTCAGCAGAACACATTATGAATTTTATAATAGCATTTTCTGGGTATTTGAGATATGAATATTTTAAACAAAGCAGATAATATAAAGATCCTGTGTAAGATGGTATTGGTTTAGTGTCTAATAGACATAGAATGAAATAAATACAAGATAAAATCTGAATTCTTGTACAATAAATGACATGATCAGAGAAGCATCTGTAGAAACATAGCATTATAACATTTTAACATTAAAAATTAACTTTCTTTTCTATCTTGTGCAATAGAGGGGCCTATATGGGTCTGCATGAAATGTACAGAGTAACTAAGCTCCATACCTCGTGCTTATGGTAATGCCACTAGCAGGAGAGCTGGTGGCTGCACTTGTTGCATTTGATGAGCCTGTTTAATGTTGGGCCTTTACATCAGAAATATCAGAAGTAAAAAACATTATGAGAGCAAGATCTACCAATCCATTATAAAGCAAGTGCATGCATGATGAATCTACCGAATTTGAGTTACACTTCCTTTTACAAAAAGCTCACTATTTACCCTGGGCGAGATAATCTGCCTGAGTGCTCAGTCACTTCAGTCGTGTCTGACTCTCTGCGACCCTGTGGACTGTAGCCATGGACAGGCTCCTCTGGCCATGGGGTTCTCCAGGCAAGAATACTGGAGTGGGTTGCCATGCCCTCCTCCAGGGGATCTTCCCGACCCAGGGATGGAACTCAGGACTCTTACGAGACTCTCCTGCACTGGCAGGTGGGTTCTTTACCACTAGCGCCACTGAGATAACTCGGACCCAATCAATTTTAGACTCTCATTAGGTTTAATGAAAATCACATTTGAAAAGAGGTACACAGCAACATTTAGGATGGAATTAGACCTCTACGCCAACAAAAGTTTTCTGTATGAATTCCAAGGTCACCAGTCTGCCCCAGTTTTGATGCCTGTGCCACATCTAGGTCTATGCCAGGTGGTGGGCATGGAACACATTTTACTTAAACAGATACTTGGGGATTCTCTACCCTAGGAAATAACCCACAGAGAAGTATTTCAAACAGGGGACCTTTACCATAAACCTCATGATGTATTCACTCCCGTCAGATCTGGAGCTTGACGTTTGTCATGAGCAAGCAGGCTCTTACCTTCATGGTGAATGACTCTGCAGGCAGTCAGCCACTAAACCCTCCCGGGATCTTTTGTGAGGCAAGCCTAGCAGATGAGGAAACAGAACTGTCGTGCCCACAACCGAAGCATGAATTAACTGTCAAATGAAAGAGGAAACCTCCTTAGAAATTCTTCCCAAAGAATAACAAAACTGACGGCAGCAGCAGGAACTGTAGCAGCAGAAACAACACTACAAAACCAAGGAACGTGAGCAGTTATACGAGCGCAGTCACCAAGCACTTTACCTGGCTTGTCTCACTACAAGTTGCAGACTAACCCGGCATGGTAGGTATTTCATTGTCCCCTTTCTACAGCCAGAGAAACTGAGGCTTGGAGAGGTTTAAAGTTGCCTCAGCCAAGCGAGTACATTAGAAAGAAATCCAACCTCAGAGCCTGACTGCCGAGTCTACTTTCCTATCAAGAGATCCCACCAGGAGGCA